GATCGACCTGTGACAGAGCGATCTGGGACAAGACGACAAATAGAACAATTTCAATGGAGCGATCTGGGAAAAGGATATGGGGCCAGGTGATGTGAGGTGACTCTGTGACAAAGGTGCTGAAATCCATCAGATCGGTGAGACTCTTTACCGGTCTCCCGAAGGGAGTACTTATTTAAGTTAGATATGGCCCGATCTGAAAGTGTGGATGTTCGTGGGAATCCGTGGGACTGTTGTAAGACCTGTGGATGGTTCCGTTGAGCAGATAAACCCTTGAGGATGGTATCGGAGCACGCACAATGAACGTAAGAGCATATATGGTTGGCTTGTACTGTGACGATCCTCAACGATCTCGAATTGGACCTCAGATCGGTCATGTTCCCTACTGACTATGGATATATCGGTGATGGAGTTGTTGAATCGTGATAAACATGCTTGATGAAGGTCCATGAGTGATGTCCCAAAAGTTCAGATCGAAAGAGCCAGTGGAAGCCGGTTGAATTGACGTCGCAAAATGGACTTAGACACATTCGGCATTTGGGTACTATTTTGGACTTTTCGGTACCAAGATTGGGTATTTGGTACCGTATTTGGAATTTGTTTCCTTTTTGGTGTCTAGGTACGATATCGGGAGTATTGGCGCTATTTTTGGAGTACAGGTCACGAAATTTCGACACGTTTTCAAGGGGGCGGTCAAGCTTAAAGATGATATCGACTTGAAGAATGACCTACAGTTTGGAATAGGCTTAAGGAAAGGTTGGATATTAATTTGGTTGGATAATAAACAGACTTGAACTCTACTTCTTCTTCTCACGACGCACGTTCTCCCTTATCTTCTCCGAGCAAGATTGATTTGGCTTCCCGGCCGGTCAAGGCACGCGTGTTGTTAGGACATTGAAACCGATCTTGGATTGTTGTCCAAGATCGAGAGGAGCGATCCCGGAAGATCTGTTCCGGATTGATCAAGCTCTCACACAAACTCAACTGCTAGGGTAGCAGCAAACAGCAACAAAGAAAAAGGATTTTGGTTACAAGATCGCAGGTCGGCTCAAGTGGTCAGAAGATCGGGACAAGGAGTTTAAGACAAGACCGAGCAAGACCGAGACGATCTACCGGACAGATTGGCACGTTTCATTTTGGCGAAACAAGACACCGATCTGCCCAAATTGCGCACTTCCGGCAAGATCGGCCGATCCCGAGACCAGATCGAACCGATCCCAAGGCAAGATCGACGCAATACTATCATTTGCTGAGTGAAGATTTCCGCACAGCAAAGACCCCGATACCTAAGACAAATCGAGATTGGTGCGATTCTAGATCGAGATCGCGACGTTTCCAGATAGAGATCGCCGCGACTCAAGATCCAGATCGCAGAATCCCCGTTCGTGGTGTGAAGATTTCCGCACCGGAAGCGAACGCTCAACCCAAACTCTCAGCAAGATCTACATCTTTCAAGGCCATTACGAAGAGCTCAAGCCAGCCCAACCGACGGGTACACAAGGTGAGCACAAGGCTATACAACAAGGCACGGATCGGAGTACCCCCTCCGTGAGTCGGCAAGTCTGGGCAAGTGGAAGATCGACCCTCACTTAAGCAATTTTGTGAGATCGACTTTACCACAGTCGCATGATGACACGATGGCACAATGGCACGTAATGTTGACCACATTTATGGATCACCTATGGGCACTTAAATTTGATTTGATTATCATTTTACGTCGTAAGAGGGACAGATTGTACAAGTAGATAGGTCCACCTCATGTGGTTATTTCTATGACTTTTACTATTCTCTATAGCCTACTATTTTCGTTTTACTTTGTATGCACCTACCAACACTACATTTGCAAGCTTTTGTTTATCTTCTGCTTTAGCATTGGTGTTACCGCATACGTCGAATGATGCGTGCGTCCACATCAGTTGTTGCCGACGCAATGTCTATGCGCAACCTGGGCGACGTGACCCGAAAACAGATCGTTTAGTTGATGCGATTTGATTTTACTACCCACGTTAGTTACTAATAGTCTCTGTAGCTCTATCACTTATATTAGGCCAGAAAGGGTTGCAGCACTAGATGGGCGATCAGCCATCATACGCGTCAGATCTATCATGCGACGATAACACAGCGCAATGTTTTCACCACGCCTTTTAAAAAACATGAAGAGTTCCTCTTCCAATTGTTTGCTGTAATCAATCGGCACGAACTGTCTCGCTCACATCTCGTACGCTGAATTATACGCGTCACCATCCTTTATGTTCGCTCCTGCTGTCGTCGACTTAAGCTTTGCGAGCTCCGACTGTCCGGCAAAACTATAAGGTGCAAATGTGCGTTTTCATTATCCCATTACTTTAGGTCCCATATATGGCGGTATTCATGAGTTCATTGGAGGTATTCTTGCGCTGTTCCACCACTAAAACGAGACAGTCCGATTTGCACGGATTCGCGACGCACACCAGTTGTTCCTGCCTTAGTATGTATGTCAAATTTCACCTTGCTCAATATTGTCTAGCCGGCTTCACCCATAAATTGACTTGACTTCATTCGTTCTTGTATCCTCAATTGCTTTTGAGAATTCTTAAAGTGACAACCCTTGGCTCGCAGAGGGCTTATGGAGAAGAACGGTTCTTAGCTAGTAGAGGGACCGCTTGGTATGAACTTGGAAAAATGAGAAGTGAGATTGATGTTTGTTATCTGCCTTTGCCACTGCTTCACCTGTCCGGGAAAGATCATCCATTTCAGGGTAGGAATCTGGGATATGCGTTGCGATGACCAGTCCTAAGTTGCTAGCTGCAACACGAACCTCATCCGATGACCACACGACGTCATGCCGTTTAGCGGCATGTTGAATATAAAGCAAGTGATATCATACGTGCATCCTGTTTAACGGGAAGTTGAATATTAAGCAAGCGGTACCATAAGCGCACGTCTCGACGTTGCGACCCGTGGCTCCGACGCTGATTTCTGAGTGAAGTAGTGGTGAGCGTGCTCTACTTCTTTTGGACCTGACAGCACAATGAAGACTCTCAGGGCTATGGAATATGCGACGCTTAATTGGAAGTGAGATACATGAACGTGAGCCTTAGATGTCTGACTCGCCTTTTCCACGCGTCCGTCATTCGTTCGTGGACTTGTTGGTTGATTTTTATGTTTTCATGTAACCAAGAAATAGATTGCCGAAGATTGAATATTCATCTTCAAGGATATTGTCTGCAAAGATAATTGTTGTATCGACATTTACTAACGTCAGTGTCATGAAACAGGCTCACCCAGTTACTCTCAAATTTCCACTGGCGTATTTGCACATACAAGCTATGCAATGCCCTATCGTCCCGTGAAATTCTACAGTTAACATCGATCTAGAAACTTCTATCACTTATTTTCGCATGAGCCTCTACGAAACGCTTCGTATGCACGCTCAGGCTTCTGGATCATTGTTGACACATTGTATCGACGCATGCTTTGCTACGTATGCCTTTTCATTCCAGCATGTCCATGACGTGCATGATGACGTTCATCCTGCAACAAATGAGTCATTATTTTGCTGCGATAGTTACACAGCTTCAACTGTGTCGTTGCATGTGTACTTGTGCATACGACATTTGCTGTAGCTTTGTGGTCATCGTCTTCGTCGATACGTGAGATTCCCATATGAGAGACAAGTTTTTTTAGCTTGTAGCCTTCGATCCCGTTTGACAGTGGCTTCTTTGACTCAGCAAAGTACTGCATCACTCGTGTGGTGACGCAGCTGTCGTTTACTACACAGCCAGACACAAACACAGAAACCACACACGGCAAAGTCCTCCTGTACATCCGGCGTCCATACTACGTCATAGTTCGATGGCGTACTGCCGAAAAGCAAGTTTGCCCACGAACACGCTTGGTTTAACCACTTGACTCTGCATCATCCATCGCCCCTTCATCTGCATTTGACCTCTCCTTCTTTCCAGCAGCGGCGTAATCGGTAGTTGTGCACAGTCGCGGCTGCGTAGTGACGGCGGCTGCACGCATCGATGTGTCTCAGGCCTCGTGCACGCAAACCAGGCTACTCGCTCGCACAGGTCCATCTGGTCGGGTACTACTATATCGCTACATAAGATATTGAACTGCGGCTTTTACGCGCTACAGTCAGCAAACGGTGAGACGAAGCAGAATATGTTCGGCATCAGCTCCCCCTTCAGTCCATGTGGAGCTCCTCTCACTCCTTTACGCGTGCATGGCACAGCCTACTGTAGAAACACTGCTCGATGTCAGGGACAGGGCAGAAGTCAAAAGTGTGACCACTGTTGCGCCACGTCCGACCCATGACTTGGCGCTCGTCGATCACGTGGCACGGGCCAACTTCCGCATCAATGAATGATGCAGGCTAGAGCCACTGGTGCCGAAAGCTGAGCAGCGATGGTGCATACAGTCAAAGACTTCCGCAGAGAGAGAGATTTGTTTGCCTGCGATGGCAAAAGCGACTTGTATTGGCGAGGGTAGGCATCGTGCGTGGTCCAGTTCGTACGTAGCTTGGGGAGCGCTACGCAGCATAACACACGAGCAACGACACGATATGTTGCAGTCTGCCACAGCAACAACCTCGACAAAGATAACACGTCGAGTCGCCTGAAGCTCCGTGGAGCGCCTTGTAGGCCTCGTGCGTTTGCTGTTCGTCTTCACGTCGCGTGACGACCACGACCGCCTTGTCTGCCGCGTCTCGCGCCTACCTGCTCTCGGTACTTTAATCAATCGGTCGTCATCTTCTCTGCTGTCGGACTGGGTCAAGTGGCTCATCCAACATTAGCGACCGCACGACTTGTTAGAGAGCGACGATTGTAAGCACAGAGAAGACGCACCGTTTGTCGAGCGAGCGATTCGTCTGTCTAGCAGAGCCGCTCGTGCCTCGAGCTCTTCTGCTGCGATCGTTGAGTGTCCGTGCGGCCACCCGAACGACTTGAACTGAATCGTTTGGCACGAAAGCCGTTCGTGTTCATCTCGATCAAAGTTCAAGCTGCGCGTGATCGACGATGTCGGCCAGAGCGTGGTCGTCATCGCACTCGTCGTCCTCGTCGACGTCCTTCCGTAGCTCGCGTGGCAACTACACGCCAGCAGGATTGCGCCACTTTGAAGGCAGGTTCCAGAGTCTCCGCAGCCATAAGCTCTTCTACTATTCCCTCTACCCGCCACATAACCACACGCTGCGCGGCGTCGTGCTCTATCTGCACGGCGCAGGAGACCACTGTCGTCGGTACGTGCCGTTGTACGAACGGCTATGCGAAGAAGGTTTCGGCATCATCACGTACGACTTGGTGAATCATGGCGCGAGTGACTGCGATCGTCATACGACGAGAGGTCACGTTCGCAGCTTTCGACAGCTCGTGGAAGACACGAACACGTACGTCACGTTCGCCAAGACGTCCGTCTTCCCGCTCGTCGGTCCCTTGTCGCTGCCTTTGATCATTGCGGGCACGTCCTTTGGATCACTGGTGGGGCTGCACGTGGCGCTCTCTGGGGTGCACAAGTTCTGCGCCGGGTTCTGGGCAGGACCGACCGTGGGCATGGAGATGTCGACTCTCTGGAAGATGCAGGCAGCTTTGATCCAGCCACTGTCTCTGCTATTGCCTCGGGTGCGACTTGTGCCGGGCGTGGACTACCAATTGCTCTGGAGAGACCCTGGCATGTTGGAGGACTTCAAGGCTGACTCACTGGCGACGATGAGCGACATTACGGCAAGGACCATGCAACAAACGCTTCGCGCCATGCACCGCTTGACGAGAGACAGCCGCTTGCAACAGGCTGACAGCGACTTTTGTGCGCTGAGCATGCTCTTCCTCGTTGGCTCGGAAGACCACATAGCGGATCAAGGGGTCACGAGGAGGTTCTATGACAAACTTGCCAATACGGACAAAGCATTTGCTGCGTTCGACGGCGTCTTCCACAGCGTGTTCGAAGACCCTGAGCAAGACGAGGTCTTTGCGTGTCTCTCTCAGTGGCTGCGGAGCCGATTCCCTGAGCTGCAGACGAAGTAAAGTGTCGTGACACGGACCTCATTTCAACTGTCCAGCTCCAAATTGCAGAGCCAAATGGACATCCATGGAGCATAAACCATGGCGTGCGTCTCCGCGAAGCAACGTGTGAACCGCCAAGTTGATGTGCGCCCGGAAAAAGTGAGCGCGTCGACTAGCCACGAGCGATTAACGGGCAACAATTACCACTTAATGATCCGACTCACCATGTTCATGTGCTTGCTTGGTCGCGTTGTTTTGTCGCTCCTTCCATGAACACAACATGTGTTCGATCGTTGCTTATGACACACTTGACGCGCCATGACCGCCTCCAGTGCTGGCATAGGCTGCAGTAGTGTTATGCTACTTTGCATACCCTGCGAAAGAGCTGCACGACATGACCATCAGTCGTGGCTGTATTGCGTTGACAAACTTGTGCGTCTCCGTCGCTAGTGCTTTGCATCATTGTTGATGCTTTGCAAGTGGTGCGGACCCTAAACTTCGTTTTGCTTTCCGTGACGCCCTGTCAGTGGTGCACTAACTAGGATGCTGCTGTGGGTTCAATGTCAAGCCACCCCTAGCAACAGTGTATGGCGCCGATCGACTCGCACTGTGGCGCTGTGTGGCATGACATTGTGAAGGCACACGGCCATTGACGAATGGCGATACTGTACACACGAATGAGTCACAGTTATGCTGCTGGTTGAAAAAAATAATCCGCTCAAGTAGTTCACACAAACGCGGAAGAGCAACAGCTGTGTGATGTAGTGGAATAATGTTTGAGTGAGCGTGGTTACCCATCAAGTAGTCGCCATCTCATGGCAGGTAGCCACGCAATGGCAACAGAGAACCCTCCTTTGCATCATGACAGCTTTGAGTACATCAGATTGATGCAAATCGTTGCTCATACGGACGGTGATCATGCACAAGAACCCATCACTTTGTTTTGCAGAGTACGAGAGAGCGGAAGTCTTTTCTCGATAACAGGCATCTGGAAATGACTTCTGCAAGCTGCGCTGTTCATGTGTTCCTTTCTTCTAGGGCCGATGTAAGCTGCATGGAGGATTGATGAAGTATACCGAGATTGTAGTTTCGGTAAATGACCATTTTTCCTGCTCAGTAGCGTCTAATGTGCATGATCTTCTGCATACGAGCTCGATCGATCCTATCTTGGCAGACAGACGTTGCTGTCATCGATTCGTTCTGACTTTCAACTGAAGTACGAACCGCTATAGCCGCCTAAGTGACGCCCTGTCGGTGACTCGTTAGACTTTGGTGAGCGATCGGCCATACGCTTCGATGCGTTTGTAAGACTCTGGACGCCCCCGCGATTTTAGACTGATACATTACACGGAAGGTAGTCATGTGCGGCCATTTTCTCGAACTAAGCTCACTGCGTGTCAAGACTGACGCAAAAGACGAGTCAAACGCATCAACGGGTGGCAAGCCATGCTGAACGAATGTAAACGTACGAGACAACAAAATGGACCTCAATGAGGTGATCAAACGATACTTCAGAAGATATGTATGGCTCAGATATGTCGTGCCCAAGTTGTCAAGTGGACGGAAGGCAACTTGAAACGCGTTTACGAGCTTCTCGTTGACGTATGTATATCATCCACAACAGAATAAATTGGATAGAAAGCGCGTTGAATCCCGAGCATGGGACGTGCAGAATATACACACCGCAGCAAATGTGCAGCGTATTCGCCACATTAAGAGGCGATGGTATGTATTGATACAATCGTGGAGTATGATGTCAGGATAGTGTCAGTCAGTGCACATTCGCTCTCGTTCAGTTGACGGGCCGAAACTATATATTATATTACGACGAATATTCGGAAGCAATTACCAAAACTTGGCCAGGACAAATAAATTGAGGACTGAAAATGTAGAGGATCAAAAATGAGCAGCGACCAAAAAAGAGTGGGACCAAAAAGAGTGGGGGGGGCGAAATTCCCGCCGCTGCATCGAAATTTCACCGGAGCTAAAAGACAGCGGGGACCAAACGAGACCAGAAATAAAAAAAAGACCCTTCCATCTCTTTGTGTGATCAAAAAAATAGGACACATTGGGCCCGTTGAAAAGTAATCCGTAAAACGTGGTGACTGACGCGTATCAACGCTATTGAGCTATCCTTTCTTTTCTAGACGGCTTCTCTGCTTCCGAAGAAGCACTACACAAATCGTCACACTTCACCTCGGATTACATCCCACGATATCGACCGTCGTCATACAAACTCAGCAAACGCTTGACACAATCGTTCGACGGCTTTTGTCGGGACCACCGGTCCGAATACACGGGGAATCGTAAAAAAACACCAGTGTTCGCCTAAAAAAACACCGTTACGATGAGGCTATCCATTAACCTTGCTTAATATATACACAAAAGGGTAAAGAAAATACCACTTTCGATTGAGCTTCACTAGAAATGTTTCTAAGATAAGTCGGACCCTCCGCTTTTTGACCGGAATGCGATCGTTCACCTTCGGTCTGTCGCGGGCAAAAGAGAGACATTGGATCACATTTTTTGGGGTTGTCCAACCGCCCAGGGTTTCTGGCTTACACTCATAACCTACTGGACCGGATGCATGGGAACTCCGACCAGTATGCAGCTTCATGCGACTTTTTGCATGTCACGGACGTCCGCGCCGTTGAATCCGATCATTTCACGGCGGCTGCTGAGCGCGTTTGGACATTCAATGGAGGCTTATGTATGTCAATGGAAGCGCATGTGGTGAGTTTTATGTTTAATATGTATCACGATTGTATGGGTTCAGCGCGGTCGGGTCGCTCACGAAGGTCTTTCCATCACTTTGGCGGGATGTATGTACGAATACGTAGTTCAAAGTTTTCGGCAATTACACGCACTAGCGATGCGGGAGTGTAGGAAGCTACACACCCAGGTGGTCGGAACTCGTCCAATGCAATACATCGGGCTGCTCACCATGGTCCCATCTAGAGCACCGCACACAGCGGTTAGACTCGTCCAACCACCGGATCATTCGACACTGGCGTTGCTATCGTGGCTTAGGTCTTTCCAGACGTCTTGTACACCATAATTTCGTATAATAGACAGTCTGTTCCCCTCTCTCTCTTAAACGGACTGCAGTCTTCACTTGCGAGACGACGGCTCCTGCAACGGCGCAGGTACAAGCCAAGGGCGTGAAGGCAACATCTGTAGCGACGATTTCTGAACCGGTGGAGCTTGCCGCTTTTGAAACATAAGCGGCCCCGGACGAGACAGTCTTTGCAGCGGCGGGATTGGCTGCGTCGTCGCTGTGAGAGCGAAAGGTAAGATGGTAGCGGTAGTCCAACAGCATTTACATTTTAACACACCCATTAGTTGTTGATATGGACTATTGACGCTCTCCTTAGCATTACGTCGGCAAGGACATGTCTCCTCGGCATCATCTATGGGAGTCAACAAAAAGTAACCTAACGATGGCTTTGCGCAAAAGATATCTCGTGCAACCAGAAAGTAGATCAACCCACGCCATTTTAGTTTATGGTGTGATCGGTCGTGCCATATCAAATCTAAAATACACACGCGACGCTAGTTAGCCGTGTTGCACAAAACCTGTCAGCAGCATTACCAACCTGCTATTACTTCCTCAAGAGGAGAACAAGTATAACCATGTTATAATACTGCAATAAACGCCGATGGGAAATAGGACGGCTTGTGCCAGCGTGAATTATAGTAGACCGGTGCCATATACTGCAGTCTCCTTAACAACACATATCATTTATCTCCAATATCGATGGTATTTACTTCACACGGCATTGCAAGGACCTAATGCATTGTGCCAATACAAGAAGCAAGCAACGTCGGGTTGATCGTGGACACCGTAAGTCGCATCGACACGTTTAGAAATTTTAGCATTATGTCGATCATGGTGACCACGATCGCTCCAGGCCCCCTGCAACCATCGCCACAATATTATTAACCAGCTGTCAATTCTCGTACCTCATTTTATCTTTACGCACACCCACGTACCTGGACTCTACTAGTAGTAAAAACTTTGCACCAGCAAAAGAGTTGTTAAACTCCCAGAACGCGACACCAGCGTGGGTTTGCTCAACATCGATAACAACACGACATAAGAAAATACCAGCAAAAGCAATATACACAACAAAATGTGGTTTAGTTTGCTAGTCACTCAGTCATCAACCACGTCGAAAAAGCACAATTTCTCTCTCTTTCTTGCATTGCTTTGGCTATGAGTCCACAAACTGCAACAGCCCGTCCCTCGTATCCTATTATTGTCTACTCAGACGGCGGGAGAAACGGCCGAGAAAGAGAAGTACAGGAGCAATATCGAGGAATGCGCCGTGACACAGTCGACGTGACGGCATGCACGTGCAGCGATTGGTGAGCGTGTGCAAGGGCGAGCCCTGAGCCGTCGTCTCGAAATTGAAGACTGCAGTCCGTTTAAAAAGTGGAGTGTCCGACTTAGCTTAGAAACGTTTCTAATAAAGTTCAATCAAAAGAGGTATTTTTTCTACCCTTTTGTGTATATATTAAATAAGGTTAATGGATAGTCTCATCGTAACGGTGTTTTTTTAGGCGAACACTGGTGTTTTTTTTACGATTCCCCCGAATACACAGGAGCTCCATACGGTGCGTAGAAATGAGACTCTGAATATTCCGCGCATGAGCAACGAGCAGCTCCGCGAATGCAGCCGCCATTCCCTCTTTTACTACACAGCAGTCGTCCGGTGCGAACCAATGCACAGACGTGGCTCTGTCTGTAGTGGACCAGGCCGTGCAGCGCCTTCGCCGCATGGTACGTGCGCACCATATGGGCACGAGAAACATCCAGCCCAGACAGCGCGTGCTTGCCATCCAACAAACGGCCACCTGGTTTCGCTCCCAGCCCCTTTGCTGATGACCAGGAAAAGCCGCGCATGTCAACACTCGTGCGAATAAATGCCGAGGTGTCCGAGTTTACGGAATGCGTAGCGTATAGTCCGCGCGGCAAACTAACTATCCATTCTTCAAGCCGGCCGTGACTTCCTGCTGTTCACGACCCACCGGGCAACAGCAGCACCTGCCCCGGACCATCCGAGCTCTGTACAGCGCGATCGAGCGCGCGAGTCATGAGAGCCGCACCGTCGATCTCACAAAGTGCTCGTGCTCAAATGTCGAATCTCGATTGAAACGTCCTCTTCCATAAACTGCGCAAGCGCGGCACGTCGAGGCGATCCGATCGGAACTGGACACACAGAGGCGGACGCAGCTGAGAGGAACGTGCAGTAGTAGCTACGTCTGCCTGCAGCGCCTTGTGGAAGGCTGTAAACAAGATCGAAACGTTGCGCCGGGTGGAGAAGGTACCAGCCAGATACTTCAACCTGCAAACCTGCGGTTCAGCAGACGCGATGCTCAGAGGCTGCCCGCTCCGCAGTAGCAGCAGCTAGACCGAAGTCGCCAGCTCGCTGGTACATTACCAGACCGCAGTGGTCGACCGTTTGGCAACGTACGCACTGTCGTGGCCATCGCGAGCACTTTCTTCGTGCTGGGGATCGAAATGTCGGACGCAATCATAACGTGCGCTAACGACTACTGTCGCGCCAGCACGATGTGCACGACAAATTTTGCCACAGCCATGTCGAAGGTCGATGGCGAGTTGGTTCACGAGAGGCAGATGGTTGGCGCCGCCGCGTTGTAGTGGGAGCACTAGAGAGACTTTTGCCAGCATCCCCCCTCCCTCCCGGCTCGACGACGAGTGGCCGAGCGATATGTGGCGCGACCCGTTTGCCGAGACATTCTCTGGCTCAGCCAAAAGCTGAGGCGAAGAACGCTCCTCGCGAGTAAAGATGGGGTTGACGCAAGAGCCGAGCGCGTGTCAAGTGCGATGGATGGACGGCATTGAGCGTCTCCGCCAGCGTCCGGAAGTCGTTGGTCGGCGACGTTCGGCGATGTTCTGCAGCTGAATCTGTGGTACGATCGCGACAGCGTACAAGTAATTGAGCCCCAACTGTTGTCGACCGAGAACAACTCGGCAAAAGGATTGGGAATGTCGACAACGTAAGAGTGAATGAGCGAGTCGTTTGCCTTCTTGTGAAGCAGTCGCAGTCGCTGTCGCAAAAGCAGTTGCAGTCGCAGCAGGAGCAGTAGTAGTAGTAGCAGCAGATGACGATCGAGCACTGCCTCCCTCACAAGGTCTGCCTTTTACTCAGCACAGGCGAGTGTGAATCTGTAAACATCACACCACCTGACTGGCAATCGACAGCATCGATTTCGAGCCAGACGCTGTCGATTCAGTCGGCTCAGCTCGGGCGGCTGGCGACCGCAGAGCGAACCACCCGACGACGTCGCGCGCGCCCCATCACCAACGAGCGCGCGCGTCTCCCGACGCCAGGCCGGACGATCGACAGCCGGAAAACGCAACCAAAGTATCGCACTTCGAACGGCTCCTCAAACGAGCCCGTGGTGCCAGACAGACAGACAGACAGACGGACGGACCGGTCGCCGTCGTCGTCGTCGCCGTCGTCCGGTCCGTCCGTCTGTCTGGCAGCACGGGCTCAAGCGGACAGAGCCATGTTCGACATGTCACGCCACGACAACGAACGCCGTCGCTTGGACCCACTTTCCAACTCGATCGAAGCACTCGCACGCGCACGTGCGGCCACAGGTTGTCGTGCGAACCCCCACAGACGGGTGACGACGACCTCTACGCCCACGACTCTCACCGCTATGGACAGTGATGTCGGCGTCTTCGCGCCTCGAAAGTCGCACCTGCAGGAAGTGCGCGTCTGGACGCACGCACTCCGCCACGGGAGAACCGCCCGCAGTCCGACGCCAACGGACGCGCCGTCGCCTCTATTGAGTCCGACGTGCACGAACCGCAAGATGGCCGAAAGCCGCAGGAAGACGCTCCGGTTCGCGCTCCGGCAGCTCTTCAAGCACGAGCGCCCCGACCGCGTTGCACACAAAACAGCAGTGGCCGCGACGACCGCGGGGGGATTGTACCGCCCGTGTCGATCCCGACGACGTACCTCACGCGCGAGAAACAGGGCTGCGTCACGGTCAGTGGCAAGCGCGTGCCGTTCACCCGCGACGCGCATACGCACAAGAAGACGAAAAAGGTGGGCAAGCCCCTGCCGAGCATCAAAGAGGACTGCGCGCTCGTGCCCGTGCACTCGTCGCTCGAGGCCTACCGCCGTCGCGCGTACTACCCGGCGAAGAAGGTCAAGACGAAGAAGGTGCGACCTGCGGCGAATTCCGTCTAAACGGCTGTCGAGTCGCCCCACGTGTGTGGTCGTGCACACCTCTTTGTTGTTCCTATATAGCGGGTCTACGTATCGGAGGACGGTTGGCTCGCGAACGGTATTAGAGCAGACCCTCTTCTTCGCCTCCTCCTCCGCTCGTGTCGAAATTACTTCACCCGCGCGCTATTTATTCGACTAATGATACCATACGAATTCGAGTCCACGTTAGACTCTGTTGCGAGCGAGCACAAGTGAGTGAGCGTATCGTCGATAAAGCAGCAGACTATAGTCTGCTGACCAGCGACTCTCCTCTGCTCGTCTTGCATGACCGGTCGCACGAGCAACACGTATTGCGTCAAGTTTTGGCCTGAGCGAGTCGACGGACCACCGACTATCGCTGCGTCGTTTGGTTACCCGTCTCAACCTAAAGACGAACGAGCAGTAAATCGCTTGTGCAGATGCTGCAGTAGTACGTCGGTGCGCACAACTTGACAAGCCGTGTAACCATCTGACAGTTGTCGTGTGCTTGACAGAGACAGGTTGCGTCACGTGTTTGCGTGGCTCGTGTACTGTAAACGACTAGACATCCAATACAGAGGTATTGTCGTACGAAGTTCCAACGAGAAGAGCTGGTACTGTGCTTCCGACTTGACCGCTGCTTCCTCGCAATTAGCGCTGAAGCAGTGTTTCGCACAACGTCGTGTCTACGACTCGAGTAGCGCTTGTGAGATCTCTCGACTTTTCCGTGTCGAACAAAGTGTCGTCACGGAACTCGACATCAACTGCCTTCGTATTCGCTTTGCTTACGACTTTGTTTGTGCTAATGTCGCAACATGCGGCAACTCGTCGGGCTGCCCACCGAAGAGAACCACGTACAGTCAGCTTGTTGCAGGCGGTCCCTACTTGTCATGTCGATCCGTTCAACACACTCTCGTGAGACGTTTCGCTTTGTCAAACGACTCGAGTTCGAAACAGATACAGAACGAGAGCGTGTATCGGATCGAGAAATGATGCGCGGAATCCGACAAGACACTACATGCCGTCTTTGTCGCCGTCCATGCTGTCAACTTTTGCTTCAAGACAGTCGGATGCTCCGATGCGTCAGCCGTCGATTCCATGCGACTCAACCTGTCCAATCGAAGTTTGGCCGAACGGCAAGATGCGTCTGATGTTGAACGGTATGGCTGCTCCGCTGCTGCTGCTGCTGCTGCTGCTGCTGAGGATTCGCGTTGTAGACTGCATAGTGTACGCGCATGTCATGCGAAAAGCGAATACATCGAGTGCACAAGTCACTCAGTTACGTGACTTGTATGTCAGTAAGCCAAATTGCTGCAAACTGCTCTCTGATCTTGAGACTGCCACCGCGTTCGTGCTCATCAATATCGTTGCGATGGTTCGCACTGTCGCATCAATAGTGTCACGTGGTGCATGACGTTCACAACGACTCGTTTTCTTGCTTCAGTCAGTACATACGGCAAAACTTGCTCGCTCTCCGATACACTCGGCCGTTCCGTATCTGATGTTGATCGACTGCTGCTTCGACCTGCAGTCGAACGCGTAGATTATAAACGCTTGAGCTACCGTTGGGACTTCAATTGCCACGAACACCCACTTCCATTGCCCCATATGTAACGCTATTTTGTCGTCGCTATCCGTGGGAATACTTCTTCGAAGCCAAATGTTGCCACATTGACTTCTTATGGCATTTGTAAACACAATCTTTGCAAGCTGTGAGCCTCTGTCGACTCGACGAGGCCCAGCTACAAGACCAATTGAACAGCCACAATGGGCCACGACGTCTCGGTTCGTCACAAACAGTCGCTGTGGAAAGCTTTGACTACGAGTCATAGTCGAGCGAAAGTAAACGCCTCACAGACGCAGCGCACGTCACTCAACATGGGCTTGAAAACTGACTCGATGTGGCACGATCCACTGTCATCCTTGAGCAGGCTTCGTACCCAGATTCCAGCTTGACCTAGATTCATAGGTCGGTCATCGGTCGCAACGGTCGTTTCCCAGTACCACTTGCAACCATGCACGACGACGGTTCACGAGGGTCTCGATGCTCTCGAGTGCGCACGGAAGAAGATTCCAAGACCACTACGCACTCATTCTCCGCCAGTCAGCAGCAACCTCGACAAACTAGATCAAGTCGTGTCCCACGTCTTCCCTCCCTTACAAATCAGCTCGATCCACCAGCAGCCGAAGACAAGGCAAAAAGACAAGAACATACCACAAACACATCAACACCAAAGCGAATCCATCCCAGCGCCTCCACCCTGTGTCCGTCCATCCTACAAAACTCTGGTGCCCCCGACCTCGAGGACCCGCTTCCCGTCTCGAAAAGACTGCACCCATCCACCCACCCACCCACGCATAAAACCCATTTTATCCCATCTGTACCCACCTCATCCACCCGCTCCACCGCGTCCGCCTCCAGTCTCCTCATGCCGCCCAAGGCGTCGGCAAAGGCGGCGGCGGCGGCGGCCGCCCCGCGCCACGAGCCCTACGAGCACTACACGTCCGCCGACCTGCGCCACGAGCTGACCGCGCGCCGCCTCCCGCTGCCCCGCACGGGCCCCCGCCGCGTCGCCAGCCGCGCCACACTCCTCGCGCTCCTGCGCGCCAACGACCACACGCGTCGCCCGCGTCGTCCCGCGTCGTCGCTGTCGCCCGTCGTGCGCGCGCGCCGCAGCTGCCGCTTCCGCCTCGTGAACGTCCTCCTGAGCCGCGCGTTCGTCGGCCGCTGGGACGCCATGCGCCCGACCGGCGGCGGAGCGCTGAACCGCTTCTGGCGCGACGTGCACGCGGCGTTCCGGCAGACGACGCGCACGTTGGAACTGGACGCGCTGCTGTTCGAAGACGCGCTGTTTCAGGACGTGCGGCCCCACGTGGTCGTCGCGCACTCGGCCTCGCGGCTCGTCGAGATGTGGTCCGAGATGGTCGGCTTGTACCGCAGCGCAGTGGCGCGCGCGGAAGCTGCTGCTGCTGGAGAAGGAGCAAAGAAGGGAGCGGGCGCTGCTGGAGGCGACCGCTCGTTTGTGGACTTTTGTGGTGGTCGACTGGACCTGCTGTACCTGCACATGGCGATGCTGCTGGAGCCAAAGCTGTACGCGTTCCTCTTGTCGGATGCGTTTGCTGTCGTGGATACGAGCGGCCGGAACGACGTTGGAGCGGTTGAAGCGCAGAGGCCGAGTGCAACTGCTGCTGGTGCAAGTGGTGGTGGTGCAAGTGGTGGAGCTAAAGCTGCGTCGGGCGTTGCGAAGGGCGGCAGAGCTCAGTCTGCTGCCAAGTTGTTGCTGGCAGACAACCGCGGGACGGGTCATGTGTCGACCAGCACGTCTCGCAAGGATACGCAGGCTTCAGCTGCTACTGCTGCTGCTACTGCTGCTGCTGCTAGACCTGCTATTACTTGTGGTGCTGAGCCTGCTACTGCCACTCGTACTGCAGCTATGACTCGTGCTGCTGGTGCCAGACCTGCCACCTCCGCGACTGCTGTTGCGGCAGCCACTGCAACTGCTGCGGCTACCGCGATTGTTGCCCCTCCTGTAGCTCCTGCAGCTACTGCTACTGCAGCGGCGGCGACAGCTGCAGCGACAGCGACAGCTGCTCCGGCAGCAACAGCTGCAGCTAAAATAACTGCTGCTGCTACTGCGATTACTACTGCTGCGAATGCTGCTGCTACTGTGGCTGCTACTGCGATTGCTGCTACTGGTTCTGCTGCGGTTGTGAAGCCTGCTCCTGCTGCTCCTGTAGTTGCTGACGATGGGTCGAGGTCAACTGATGCTACCCCTGCTGTCCCGCCTACCTCTGCTGCTCCCGCAAGACCGTGCAAGATACCAACGCAGAATCCAGAGATGGACGAGTTTTCGACGCTTGCGACTTTGGCCGCAACTGGGATGTTAGCAAAGACGACTGCTACTGCTGCAGGCACTGCTAGCACTGCTGGCACAATGTCGAACGCAAAGAGGGGGTCGTCAGCCGCGCCGAGTCTGAAGTCAAGTGCGCGAAAGAAACCATCAAGCACAGTTGGCAACAACAGAAAGACAGGAAGCCGTGGAGCAGGTGCACGGTCGGCGAGAGAACCGAGGCCAAAGGTGTTGCCACCGAAGCACAAACAGACAGAGTCTCGGTCCGAAGCAAGTGCTGCGAGCATGCGTGTCCAAAGCAAAGCTCCTGTTGGTGACAAGCATGCAAACACAACGGCGTCGTCACTCGGCAAACGGCCACGTGAAGAAAAGGATACAGCGATTGTCGCGGTCTCTAGCGTGAGCGATATCGTGCCACACTCCGGCAAGCAGACACACTCGGCAAAAATGTTCTCGACAGCACTTGCTGGACGAGCAGTGGACGTGGTGTTGCCTCCTGATGAGTGGGATATCCTGGAAGGCCGGCTGCGAAAAGTGAACGAGAACATTGATCGGTGCCATCGTGGGCTAGCAAACGTTGACGCAAACGCCAGTGGTAACTACAAGCAGTCATTGGAAGCCGATCTGCGCTTTTACTCTGCTATCAAGCAGCGACTACAGGAGCAACTCCTCGTGGTGATGCAGAGTGGGTATTAGTCCAACGGACCATTGGTGTCGGCTAACTTATGGAGGCGTGAACACGCGTGTCCGCGTGAAGTACGCAGCAAATGTGTATACATTTTGTCGAGGCCGCAGCATCGTTGGGTTCTCCTTCGCGTTACTGCTTTGGCGCATTTCGATGACCAGGAATAACGCAAACAATGTGCGAGAGTATGGCTTGTCGCTCGCCGTCCTGGTGGATTGCGTCACGAGCTGGACTGTGCAGAAGGTTGCAATTGGACGATCGGTGAAGCCGGAGGCAAAGCACTGCTGGGTCTGCGACTACAGGCTGCCGTGGATCGTTGATGTTAGCGCACGAGCTTTGACAGTCTTGACACGCTTTCGGCTCTCAAGGCATAAGCCAGAGCAACAGATGACGTCCCACGCTTGGATCAGTTTGGAGCACGGAAAGAGGCACCTCATTGCAAGGTCTCTTATCGCAGGCCACACTGACTTGTCGAAGGAGACGTGGAGCTTGTTTGGTGATAGCAACAAGGCCCGACGAAGCGATTGCGTCTCGTTGTGGTCGCCAACGCACGTGCCACTGGAGAACGGTCTGCTCCGTCAACTTGAAGCACACGTACGTCATCCACGAAAGTTTGTGCACTGGAACGTTTCCCGACTTTCGAAGACGGTGAAGAAGCGGCTGTGACGGCAGCAAAGTCAGGCGAAGTGGTCGACGTGTGTCGTTAATGCCACTGCAGCGTCGTGTCAATGCAGTGTGCATGCTGCGCTTACTGTTCCCGACCATGAGTCAGTCAGGTGCTCGAGCGATCGGGACTAGAAGCCATAAGCGCGTTATGATCGAAATGTCACGTTGCTATGATGAGTCCTGCGGCCGAAGAGAAGCAGTGGACGCCGACCAGCTTTTGTATGTCCCGGTCACGCTGCGTGCTTTGCTGTATATGTTTTAAGCATAGCAGCCTCCTCTATCGTTATGAACAACCACTCGAACCACCTTCTTTTACGTGCCAAAAGTTTAGGAGACGCATGATCTCTGGTCGAATCAAATCCTGTCTGAAAAGCTCATCTTCTGGGACAATTGTGTGTCTGACACTGCCAGTAGAGCCACAGCCTCCAACTGTATACTACATCCTCACCGCGCCCACTTGTCAAAACACGCGCATTGTCGACCCTTTATTTGTATGCCACCGCATAAATCGTGTATACCGCTCCACAGCAGAACCTTTCCAAGTACCAAATTTGGTCCCATTCTGCACGTGCCCATCGTCCGTCCGTCCGTCCGTCCGTCCGTCTGTCTGTGTCTCTCTCTCTCTATCTGTCTATCTGTCTGTCTCCCCCCATAGACCGTCGACCGCCTTGTCGTGTCCTCCGTCATGGTGCGTTCTGTCCACTCGCTGTCGTCGTTCATTGGCCGCGGCCCTCTGTACCAACTAACAGGGCGCACTCGGGTCTTTGCTGCCGACATGTATACAACTGCTGCTGCTGTACGTATAGGCAGACGCGCGCATTGTATTGACGACGCTCATGGACGAGAAACTGCTGGAAGCCGGTGCGTAGTGGGCGATGCTACGACTTTGGCAATGTATACGTATACTAACACATGGATCCCACCTGTCTGTTGTTGCTGGTCGTGTGCAGGTCCCAAGCGACTGTACGTCTCGTACTATCGCAAACGTGTATACGCCGACCTGTTGCCGGATGGGTCGATCCGGTACAAGAACGAAGTATACACGTCGCCTGTGCCCTGCGCCTTGCACATGAAGCGCACGTTGAATCCCTGTACGTGGTTCTCATTGGCTGAATATCTACACTCGCGTTCGTACGGGAACGACAGTGTCCGGACTAAAGTGTCGCACGCTTGTAGCTCTTAAGACAGATGCTGGCTGGTCGTCCATGTACTCGGCCGCGTCGGGCGAAAGCCTCAAAGATATCAAAGATCGACTGAACATTCGCAAACGTGGCACCAATGCGCGCTCCGTCAGCAAAGAGCGGAAAGCAGCGCCACCTTCGCTTACCGTGAAGGAGCGCGTGGCCCAATTGACCGCTGCTCTGGCCACACAAAAAGCAGTTCCGGTACGGTGAGCGACGACGGCTTTTGTGACGAAATCCGACTGTTTGTTTGCCGTGTTGTTGCGGTGCTCATTGTCGCTCTTGTTGCGGTTGTTATTGCGGTTGTTGTTGCTGATGTGATGTGCAGAAGTGCAGTGCATGTCGGAAAGAAGCCACAACGGACGTGGTCGAGTGCAGTGCTTGTCACAGCAAAACCCACTGGAAGTGTGCAAGTCCTGCGCTCAAGACGGCCGGACCCAAGTTGTGGTTCTGTGAAAAGTGTGTGACGGGGCAAGCCAACCGGATCCTCGAGTTTCTTCAGCAGACGCGTCGTGTGCTGGTGGAGAGGATTGCAGAGCAGAGGGAAGCAAAGGAAAAAGCCACAACAGCAGTTGCAACAAAGACAATCGAAGCAAAGCATGATAGCAGTGATGCGAACGATGACGACCCTTCTACTCATGTTGTTGAGAGTGCAGAGGATGTTGTTGGTGTGGAGAAAGAGGAGGAGGTTGAGGCTGTAGCGGTTGTCTCTACTGATATGTCGAAGAACGACCAACCAAGCGAGTCTAGTCACGATAGCGTGTCTGCAGCAGACGCGGAGTGCTCGGTCGAGCCAATGGCAGAGAGAAGTGCTGACAGTGAGAAGCAGCCAAGCGATGACTCGACCGTAGATGCAGTATGTGTGGCAGAGGTGGACGCGTTAAGCGAGCCAATGGCAGAGAGAAGTGCTGACAGTGAGAAGCAGCCAAGCGAGGACTCGACCGTAGATGCAGTATGTGTGGCAGAGGTGGACGCGTCAAGCGAGCCAATGGCAGAGAGAAGTACTGACAGTGAGAAGCAGCCAAGCGAGGACTCGACCGTAGATGCAGTATGTGTTGCAGAGGTGGACGCGTCAAGCGAGCCGAAGACTACTGCATTCGATGCTGTGGTAGAGGAAGAGACAAAGCAGACGCATATTGACGTCATTGCTGATGTGCCGGTTTTAGAAGAAGTTGGGCACGTTGCCTCTGAGAGCAAGAAGAATGACGACGATGTGGAGGACGCAATCGTCGAGACCGCGCAAGTGGCTGTTTCCAGGACCGAAGAGACGACGAGCGTACGTTCGTCGTGTGGTTGTGGATGAATGGTAGCTGATGACTAACCTTTGTTTGCACGTTCGATTACCAGGCGGAAGAAGACTTTCTGGTGTTGGTCGACAGTCTCATTGCAGAAGTCTCGTCCAAAGATGACAGAGCTAGCTTGATCGCTAACAGCACGGGTGCGACACTAGTGCACCTTGAAAAGACGCACTTGGTGCAGCTCGTGGAATACGGTAAACGTAAGGTTCTGGCGGCGAATCAGCTCGACAGCGGAGACGACAGCGAGCGAGACGGCGCAGAGGAATGTGACCAGGATATCACTGCGTCTCGCGACACGTCCGAAGTGGGCGCGCTCATCAAGATCTTTGACTTACGTCATCAGATCTTGTCGTCACAGTCCCAATTCCAGCGCACAACAAACGCGCTAGCGAAGCGCACCGAAAAGCATATGCGAAATGCCGAGACCGAAGTGATGGAACTGGAAGAATCACGAACGGTGGAAACCACGTCTATGACGAAAATGGTTGATGCGATTGACCAGCACGCAAGCGACTTGAGTACGTGCGGAGAGAAGATCTACTACGACGAGGTGCTGCTCGAGAGCATCAACCGCCGCCGCCAGTACATTCGATCCACAAACATTAAGGACCGTTTTGTGCCGTCGTACCGCCACAGCACGAAGCTCATGACAACAAGCAGCGACCAGCTTCTGTTGACTGTTTTGTTGGAGAAGCTGCGTGACATCACGGAGGTGCTGAATGAGTGGACGAAGATGGAGCGCCATTTCGTGGGCATGACGTCAAGTCTGAACAAGTCACTATCGTTGATTGGCACGAAGCGAAAGTGTACGGGCGGCGGCGTGAAGTTTCTACCGACCGTGCCATTGTTCGCACAGGTTGGGATTCCTCCGTCCAGACGTCTCATTGAGCGCCAAATCGCGAACTTCAAGACGAATCTGAATACGATTCGTCAGGACCGTGTGCGCATGCGCCAAACGCTTTCTGGGATCCTGAAGATCGCGCGAGAAGAGCACCTGAGCGACGAAGTTGTCAAAACGGCCGACATGCTGTACCAGAAATGCCGCGACGTGAAGGCCGAAGCGGAGGAAGAGCAGTTGAGGCTGAAGGAGGAAGCAGAAGCTGTCGCCAAGGAATACGAAGACGAGCAAACTGGTTACAGTCTTCCGAGTGCCAACGACGACGACGCGAGTGGAGGAGAGCCTGAGCTCAAAAAGCAGTGCCTGGACTTGGACCAAGCAGACTCTCGTTCCGACAGTCTCTCCGACGTTGATTCGAACGCTGCTTCTGCTATATCTGCCATGCATGCAACGCCACCCAGCGACAAGAAGGGCATCTCGTCGCTGCTCGGCACCGACGATTCAGACGAAAAGGACTCGAACTATAGCTGTGCAGCAAGCAAGGCGTGCGTGGACGAGAACGACGGCAGCGAGGAAGATCTAGAGCAGGCGTCTCGCGCCATTGCGGACATCTCTTCAGTGTTGCCCGATCTCTCAGGCGGAGGCGATCCCCGCACGGACTTGCTCAACCCGCTGTTGACAACGGAGAAGCCCGGACTGGACGCGTCGCGCGGTTTCGCGTCCCCCGGTCAGTTCGTGCTTCCCGACCGAAAAGGGAGCAGCGACAAGTGCAACTCGCATGCGCGACAAGCCATCGACCCGCAGCAGCACAATCAGCCGGCGATGCGCTTCTCAGGTCGAAGCCAGCAGTCGTTCTCGGACCAAGGGTTTGACGTGCCGAGCGAGCAGCAGCTGCGTCCCGAGCTCCAGCACCAAGAGCGGGAACGTCTCGAGCGGCTGCGCATCGAGGAGCAATGTCAAGAGCAGGAGCGCCAGGAACAAGAGCGTCGGGAGCTGCAGCAGCAGCGGCTCGAACGGGAGCACCAGCGACTGGAGCAGAAGCGTCACGAGCAGCAGCAGCGCATGGAAAAACAGCGATGCCTCGAGGAGCAGCACCGCTTGAAGCAACAGCGTCTCGAACAACATCACATGGAGCAGCAGCAGCAGCAGCAGCTTCTCGAGCAGCAGTGCCAGGAGGAGCAGCGGCAACAGGAACTGGAGCGGCAGCGACACCAGCGACAGGAGCAGCAACGCCAAGAGCAGCAGCAGCAGCAGCGCCTGGAGGAACTGCGACGCCGACAGCAGCAGGAGCAGCAGCAGCGCCAAGAGCAAGAGCGGCACTTTCAGCACGGCAAGTCGACGGGTCTCCCGCAAGTCGTGCCTCCTGGCGCATCGCACCTGCAAATGCTCAGCCAGCAGCAACAGCAGCAACAGCAACAGCTCCAGCAACAACAGGCCGCCGCTCTCCAGCAGCAGCACTCTCGCCAGTTGCAGCACCCTCTGTACGGTGACATCCCCAAGGGCATCCTCATGTCGTCCGGCATGGGCACCGCCAGCCAACAAGACGTGTACGCGCAGCAGGCGGCGGCGGCTCAGATGGGCATCAACATGCACGACGTCGTGCGGCATCAGGACTCGAGCCACTACGTGGGCAGCACCGCGTCTGGCAGTCTGCGGGCAGCGCATTACATGGCATCCGGTGAGGCGTCGCGCAGTGCTGTCCAAAAGCCACCGTCGGGAGTGCCGCGCACGAGCTTCTACGGAGACGACGGCCAGGGCGGACAGCTGCACGCGCAAGACGTGTTCGGCCCGCAGCTCATGTCGACGGCGCAGCGACAGTTTCCCGACCACCACCACATGTTCGCAAGTGAGCTACAGCAGCAGCAGCAACAGTCGGACCCGCCGCGGGCCACGACGGGCCAAGAGTTTCTGCTGAGCCGGTCGTACCGGGGCCTGAGCGACAGCATGCAGCAGCACCCGGGCTTGAACCCGCCCGACGACAACGATGTGAACATGGGGGACTGGCCCCAGTGATTAAACGCTACAGGTCTAGACACAGCAGCAGCAGGTTGGTTGACTACAAGGTATGGTGATACTGTGTCCTCACGCGTCAGCGCTCTTCTTGTCGTTCTTGCCTCGTGCCGCTGCGCAGCCGTCCCACGCATCCATCCGACCGCAACCGGACAGTCAGTGCGTGCACAGCTGCACACATCGCATGCGCCCCATCCGCCGAGCACCAGCGCGTCGATCCAGTGCACGTACGTATCGCTGCCGTCTGCGTCGCTGCTCTTCTTGTGTCGCAGTCACTTGTCTCCTGGCCGGACGCACAGGGGATAGCCGACAGGAAGTAACCTCCGACAACGACCGTCACGTCGCCGCTCTTCACCCGCTGCAAGTCGTACGAAGAAGTACTGTACGGCGCCAGCGCTTCACACCGACATGGACCGGGCCAGCACGGCCAGCCGCTGGTGCAAGTGCGTCTCGAGCCGACGCTGCGCCTCGAGGGCGCGGGTCTGGTCCTCTTCGACCGTCCGTTTCCACCGCTCCAGTAGCTCGAGCTTCTCGATCACGAGCTTATGCGTCATGACCATTGTCGTCTCGCACGCCGGCAGTCGCCTCGCCGTCTCCCGCGCCAATGCACTGCGCGGGTCAAACGTCGTTCGCGCCCGTCGCACAAAGTCGCTCACGGCCTGAGGGAACTTGGGCAGCCGCAGCGTCTGCAACTCGGGCGCGAACGTCCGGTACCGGCGACGCGCTTCAGGCTGAATCCCAATCGCCGCTGCCTTCATCAGCTGACCGGCTTCGACCGTGAGCGCAAACGGCCCGTTGGCAAACTCCCTCGCCGAACCCGAGTACTGCGACGAGACGACAGTGGCCATCGCCATGCGCAGCAACTGCAGCGCCTGCTGGTAGAGCCCCGTCGCGCGCTCAATCTGTTTCTTGATCGACTCGCACGCCTGCACCTCGGAGACGTACATGGCCACGTGTGTGTGCATCTGCCGGGCCTCGGGCAACCGCAGCGTGCGCAGCAACTGGCCCAGCAGCTGCTGTTTCTCCCGCTCGAGTTGCTCGAGACGTTCAGCCACTGGCACAGTGTCGCCGTCGTCGTCGTCGCCGTCTTCTTCTTCCTCGTCGTCAGCGACGTCGCCGTCTCGTCGTGTCCAGCTCTCACTCACGTCGTCTTCGCCTTCGGGCTGGAGCGACGAGGCCCTCCCGTAGCTGCTGCTGTTGCTGTTGCTGCTGCTGCTATCGCTGCTGGTGCTCCGCCGCGCGCTCTGTGAGAACGACGAGCGGCGCTTCCACTCGTCCACGAGCGTACTCGACCGTCGCTCGAGCAGCTCCAGCTCTGCGTCGGCGTGCACGGCGTCGGCCATGTGGTGCCCCAGTGTCTTCTTGAGCGCCTCCGTCTGCTGCAAGTGCTGCGTCGCCGACCCCATTGTGGCCGCCATGAGGTACTTTTGCAGTCCCTTTCGCTCTTGACGCGCCTCGAGCGTCTGCGTCATGAGCTTTTGGTCCTCGCGGAGCCGCTGCGAACGCCGTCGCGCCTGCTGCAGCTCCGTCCGCACGACCGCCAGCTCCGAGTGCGGCTGGACACGACCCGCGTCCGTCGCTTCCGTCCCGTCGATCGTTGTCGCCGTCTCGACGTCCAAGCGCTCGAGACGCGCCACTTCCGTCATCACGTGGTCCAAACGGCTAAAGAGACGGCGGTCCAACGCCATCTGTGGCTGTGTCACTGGCGGCGGCGTCGCTTGTGCTGTTGTTGTTGTTGTTGCGGCTGTCTCTTGTTGCTGGTGGACGCTCGGGAGGCTCTGCGTGCGGGTGCGCGTGGCAGTGGCAGCAGCGGCCAACGGGCTGACGCTCGCGGTAATGGGACGCGGCGGCAGACCGAGCAACGGCTTTCTTGACGACGCGCGCGACGCGGTACTGTCCTGTGGCTGCGGCGCAGACCGCGTGACACTGGGCGGCATTTGACGCGTGCAGACCCGACGCGAGAGAGAGAGAGAGAGAGACAGCGAGAGAGAGAGCGAGAGAGCGCGCGTGACGAAGTGACTGACGGACGGAGAGCGACTCGTCGGCAATGCGGTCAATGGCAAACTGCGGCTCGGGAACGAGTGCGACATTCGCTTTTTTCGGGTCGGGGACGCGAGTCAGCGCGTGCACACGCTGTGGCCAATCAGCGCCGGCGCGCGAGCCAGTCGGTCGCGAAACTGGTCCCAGAGGTCCGGGTCCGGGTGCAAAGGTGTGCTCGTGCCACCAGCAGCTCTTTGCGCACTGTCGGTTGGCGAAAAGGCGACGGGGGGTCCGACTCGGTCCGTCGTCCTATCAGATGACAGTCGATGGAGGACGTGGACTGGTTGGTACAACACTGGGCCGACTGGGCCGACTGCTGCTGCGCCTACTGCTTCGACTGCAACGGCTGCAACGCGTTGCTGACCTCTATAGTGATGAGAAAGATGAGGAGGACATGATGAATGATGACCTGATCCTGTTGTTCGTTTGCTGCTGTTTTCGGGCCACAATAGACGGGGAAGACGTGAGTCACGCCTTCTGCTCGACGTCGAGCCACGAGCGTTTGTGGCTGCAAAACGGCCCACGGCAGCCGCTGCGGGACGTCGGGCGTTATTTCTCTTGCTGCAACGACCGACTGCTTTGGATTCGATCGACAAAGTACCACCAGCACGACTTGTACCGCCATCGCCACCGCCACCAAATGAATGCCCGCAGCTCCTGCGACTGCCTGCAGTGCCATCCAAAAACGCCGAGCAAAAGCTTCTCTTGCCGCCACCGGGAAACCCACGAGGAGAGGAAACAGACGTACGCACCGGTCGCTGTGCTGTGCTCTTGTTGCTGACGTGCGCGCGGGACCATTGAAATGTACGGACATGTCGCGCCTACCAGACACGCACTTGTCAGCACGGCATGCAGACATGCAGACTTTTGACTGACAAGTCGCAGCCTATCTATCACACTGGTAAAGAAGGCTCCGGTGCAACTCGTACGGTATAGTCGCGCCCCGACAGCCGACGAGTGGCTGTGGTGGCCGATTGGCGCACGACCGCACACTACGAGTTGAGCACCGACCGATGTGTATGGGCAGGGACAGCTTTGAAAGAGATGGCTACAGTTTGTGTAAAGGCCGCCGGCCGATTCGCGACAACGCCGAAGTGGTGCGGCGACGGAAAAAAGCAAAAGGCGTGAAGTAACGCAAGAGAAGTACAGAGCGCACGAAGAAAATCAGATGGACAGTGTCGGATAGGATGCATTACTCGCTGCCTCGTCTACCCGCGACTGTCCCGCAGAGCCGCCGTAGGACAATGAAAACTTCGACTTTGACAGCAGTGCGTCTGTCTATCCAGAAACGTGAACAGTATAATAATAATAAAACTCATCGTACTGTCCGAATACTTGACAGTCACTCGCGCACAATCAATCAGCCGCGCGATTGAAGCAATCGCATATGAGCAGGTAAACTCGAGTCTACGCTTGTCACGCGCGAGTGCATCCGCATGGAGTGGAACGACCATGAGAGTCGCTTCTACTTTCGGTTGGACAAAGTTTCGTCGATGGACAGCATCCTCACGGCCAGGAAGAGCGCCACGGACTCCACAACTACCTGATCCTACGAAGTCACGCAGTCTTTGGTGGTGGAATGGGTAGCAGTGGTGTCGACCGTATACTTTTCTCGTCAGGCGCTCGATAGCGTCGCCACAAAGCAGTAGACGGACGACAATCGAACAATTGGTCCGTCTTTTCACACTCGTGTGTGAGCTACACGACAACAAATGATCGAGTGCTCGTGCGCGACGTGGCGGCTACGTGTTGTCTGCCTTTTACACCGAAAAAGAACCTCTGCGTCGGCCACTGTCGAATGAAAAAACACTGAAACGGGTTTTCGTTTCGATGGTTCTTCGTTGCATCGGACAAACGACGTCGCTGAGGCAGCAAAAAACCTCGACACGTTCTGTCGCGCGAGCAGTGGTGTTGGCCACTTGCTTTCTATCGTTCCGTTAGAAACGCGTGTACCCATGTCGAAACTTCCATTCGCGACCGACTCGACGGCCGATACCGCCGCAGCCACAGCCACAGCCACACGGCGACCGGTACAACGCCCACCGTCTTCCAGTAGCGATAGTCGATTTCAGGCGCTGAGCTGTCGCGTTTGAGCTCACTGAGAAAGTTGAGGTCCATGGCGCTCATGCCCACGCCCTGTTTAGTATATAACTTCCCGCGCACATGGGCTCGTACTGCCGTATGCTCTTGCGATCGCACGCTCGTCGACGAACTGGTCACGTCCAGCGGTGTTTTTCGGTTCCTAATGCAGCTCATGTGGATGCCCGTGACGCGTGCAGACGTGAGCTGGAGCTTGGAACAATAGGACATGTGCTGCTGCGACCATCGCTCAATTGCCCAAGACACTCAGTTCTTCTGCCAGGCGGCGGACCTGTCGAACGTGGGGCAGCTATCACTGCAGGCGAGAGCGGTAGTACGCGCAGTTGCAGCATGCACACTCGACTCTGGAAGCGCCAACGTCACAGGAGACCGTTTATGCTGTAAACGCAGCAGCGCCACACGCGCGAGTAGACGATGCACAGCACCGCAATGGGTCCAGTGCAAGTGCGGCGTGTCGTGCACGAAGCGCATCCGCATGATACGCAACATGCGACGTGGCCGTGCGGTCGTTGGTGCGCATGCACTGCTTGCCCCACGTCCATGTGTCAGTCAGTACATGTCAGAGTCGTGAGACCTGCGCCGCAGTCGACCACCGAGACGAGCGACACCATCTGTTGGGGTCCGTGTCGTTTTCGCACGCGGTGATTCGCCCCATCTGCGCGGCATTTTGTCCACTCACACGCCGCTATCAGCCGCGTTTTACTGGTTCCCATCAGCAGCAGACGACCTCTTGCCAGCAGCTGCTCGTCGTCCGCTCCGCTCGTCTCTCCTGCAGTAGCAGCAGCAGCAGCAGCGACAACAACAACGACAACGGCAACAACTGCAGCGGCAACAACTGCAGCGGTACTATGCAGCACGACGAAGTGATATGGGGCGTCATCTCGAAGCAGTTTTGCTCGTTCAAGAGCAAGTACGTGACACTTGCGAGTCCATTGACTTGACGACTCGTCTGATCCACTTCATCGACTCACTCACTCACTCACTCGCTCACTCGCTCCCACTGTGTCTACGTGACAATGTGCGTCTCTATGTGTATTGCTCACCTCTGCTCGAACCACTTGTGGGACAGACTGCCGGGCACAGGTAACATGTTCTGCAGCAATCCGTACAGCGTGTCGGGGCTGTGCAACCGCACGGCGTGTCCATTGGCCAACAGTCGCTACGCCACGATCCGCGAGGAGGACGGCGTGTGTTTCCTTTACATGAAGACGATCGAGCGCGCGCACACGCCGAATCGGCTGTGGGAGCGCGTAAAGCTCAGCAAGAACTACACCAAGTCGCTGGCCCAGATTGACGAGCAGCTGCAGTTTTGGCCCAAGAAACTCGTGCACAAGAACAAGCAGCGACTGACAAAGATCCATCAGTACTTGATGCGCATGCGCAAGCTCACGCTCAAGACCAAGCCGAAGCTGGTGGTGATCAACAAGAAGATTGAGCGCCGCGAGAAGCGCCGCGAGAAGAAGGCCGAAGTGGCGGCAAAGCTGGACAACTCGATTGAAACAGAGCTGCTCGAGCGGCTGCAGAAGGGAACGTACGGCGACATTTACAACTTTCCCGAACGCGAGTTCTCCAAAGTGCTCGAGACTAAGGGCAAGCGGCAGACGACGGAAGAAGAGAGCGAAGACGAAGACGAGGCCGAGTACGAGCTCGAGGGCGACGACGACGACGAAACAGAGGACGAGGACGTTGGTCAGGTGGAATACGTCGAAGATTTCCAAGAAGACGAGAGCGATCTCGAGGACTTGGCCGACGAGTTTGCCGTGGACGACGACGGAGAGAGTGACGACGCTACCGACAGCGCAGAAGAGGAAGATGCGTCGACGAGCAAGAAGCGCAAGTCAGTGGCAGCGTCGAAGAAGAAGGCGGACAAGAAGCAGAAGAAGACGAGTGGACCGTACGTCGAGATTGAGTACGAGCAGGAGCAGGAGACGGCCAGTGGGGATCATGACTGGTAGGCAATGGGGGAGGGGGCGTGACGCTGTGGCGTCGCAGCGGGTGGAAAGCACGACACGAGGAGCGGAAGTCGAAATAGAGTATGGTGTCCGCGTAACATGGAAGCGGTGGCAGGATCAAACGTGGACACTTTTGACAGGAATGCAACATGGTTCTTATGCTGCGTTTTTGCGCGTTTCGTACGTTTTTGACACTCATCCAGCGCCATTGCCAGCGTTCTTGTCGCCAGAAGGCAGCACAGCCGAGTCGGTGCCTCCTCATTACTGCAAGGCTGTCCGAATGATCCATTACATACACGCAGAGACCACACGTGCGTCTACTGCTGAGCGCATTCCGGGTGCTCTCCTCCATTCGGTTCTTCCTGGCTGTTTGTAGCTATCGCATCCGTCTGTGCCGGGAGTACGAAGCCACCTGCTTTGGCAGCACCTGACGAGGTTCCTTGCAGGTGAGGCGAGGCTTCAGTTGTAGCGTCGCAGTCGTCGAGATTGACGTCGTCCGTGCCCACATTCACCTCGGAAGCTTTTCTGGTAGTGCTGATGTCTCCATCGACTACCTTTGCAGCCGCAGTGGCGGGTATGTCGTACATGCCTGTGCCTCCAGTCACTTCGTCCTTCTCAGATAGTGACGACGTGTATTCCATCTGCTTCTTCTGCTCCCGGCTTGTCGTCGAATGATGACGAAGGGGTTCGTTTTCAAGGTACGACACACTCTCACTCTTCTTTTTGCAAAGCTTTGCCATCGCATCCTCGACTGACGCTAGTTGCGACTCCAGCGTTTCCACAAGCTCCATCTTTTCCTTCACCAAGGCTTGCATTTCCTGGATCTCGTGCTCGGCTTTCTCGCGTTCATCGTTCAGTGCCGCACGCATTTTCGCCTTGTCATGTAGCGCTTTATGTTTCTCATCGCGCACGGCTTCACGAAGCTCTTCGACTTGCTCCTTCAACTGGCTCAGCTCTTCATTCTTGTATGCCACCGACCGCTTGTCCGTTCGATCGTCTCGGCTTTGTGCCGGGGCCTGCTCTGCTTCGGCCAAGTGCTTTTGCAGACTTTGCACTTTGACCTGCAAGTCCAAGCGGTCCTTTTTCAGCTTACGGAACATCTCCAGCGTCTCTGTTGTCATTTTGACCCTATCCAATTTATCGATACGCGCCTTCTGTTTGTCGACAAGCTTCTCCATACTTTCGTTTGCAAGCTGGGCTTCCACCAGCTTGTTGTGGTTGTTGACAGCCTCCTTCTCTGCAGCCTTCAGCGAGTTCGCAAGACTCTTTAGCTCACCACATTTCTTTGTCACTTCATTCTCGGTCAGTTCCAGCTGAGCTTCCATCTCCTTCAGCTTAGCTTGGTACTTGGCTTGCTGCGTCTGTACCGCAGCACAAGTCTGCTGCAGCTCGTCGATTTCGTTCTGAAGCTGCTCCTCGATGCGTCTGCGTTGATCCTCAAGCATGGCGTTTTCTTTCTTCATCTGCTGATGTGCAGCCTCGAGCTCGCTGTACTCTGCTTGCAGCGTTTCTCCGCAGCTCTTTATCCGATCTTCTTGCTCACTGATCTTTTTCTCATAGTCCTCCTCCCTTGCTCCATAAGAATGCTTCAGCTCGTTCAGCTCGGCATCACTTTGCTCGACGACTGAGAGAAGTCGGTGTATTTCGTCATCCGCGTTTTTCCGGTACTCATCAAGTTCTGTCTGTGCTGTTTGATACTGCTCACGAAAGCTATCCATCTGACGCACGAGATCCTGTTGCTTTTCTTCCCACACGGTGCTTGCTGCTTCGAATTCTCGTTGCATCGCTTCCTTTTGCGCCAAAACCTCCGTGCACGATTCTTGTGCCTTCAGCAATTCGTTAGAATGCGCCTCCTGAGCGGCTTCCGCACTACTTTGGAGAGCAAGTACTTCGTCGCGCAGTTGCGTCTGTTCCAACATCAAGCGAGCAAACTCCTTCTTTGCCAATTCTTGCTTCTTGTTCCACGCTGAGTCTTGCTCAAGCAACTCTCGTTGCGCCTTCGCCAACTCGTCCTCCAGCGCTGCGACTAGGGATTGGAGCTCAGCCTGTGTTGCTCTTGCCTCATTTAGCTTCTCCTCCCTCAGATCGTTCTGCGGCAACGCATTTTCCACACCTGCGTCACCCGATAGTGTCTTGAGCTGCTGCTCAAGCTCCAAAATCGTTTCCTGAAGCGCCATCTCTTTTCCTTCCGCGGCAACAAGACGCTGCTTACCCTGGATACGCATTTCATCCAGTTCCTCCTTCGACCTTGCCAGAGCAATTGTCAAACTTGCTACTTCTTTATCCTGCTTTTCTTGCAGACGACCAGCTGAATCGAGGTCCGTTTCTAGCGACCTCATCTTCTCTAGCAGGTCTGCGACCGTGTCCGAGCTATTCTTCGCTTCCTCGCGCAAGACGGACAAAGTCTCTTCGTATGATTGGACATCCAGCTGAAGCTTTGTACGCTCTCTGGACTCAATCTCGAGACGCTGCTGTACATGTTCCATCTCAGCGGTACTACTCTCATTTCCGGGCGTTGCCACTGTTTCACGGTCTTGCATCTGCTTCACCAGCGCGGCATAGTCTACTTGTAACGTCGTCAAAGAGGTCTGGAGTTCCCCGATGCTTTGCTCAAGCTCACTTTTGCTCGCTTCCAACTCCGCTTTTGCTGAATGAGCGTCTTCCAGCTGCGCTCGAAGCGTTGCAATCGTTGCCGAGGATGACAAGACGTCTTGCTGCACCTTTCGAAGCTTGTTTTCTTGTTCGTTGGCGGCGACCGCAAATTTCATTTTCTCTTCCGATACCTCCATCAGCTGGGATTCCAAAGCACGCAGCTCTTCGACACAATCGTTGCGCTCACGCGAAACGTTATCCAGCGCTTTACTGACTCGCGCAAAATCTTCTTTGAGCTCGTTGTAACGCAGATCAGGTTGGTCCAGTGAGCCGACGTCCGCAACCTGCTCCTGTTCATCCGCCAAAACGCTCGAATCAGGATCGGTCTCTTGCTTTGGATGGCATAAAGTAGCATCACACGTCTGAAGGGTTGCTTGTAAGCGTTCCTTTGTATCTGACAGCTCTGACTTAACCGCAACAAGCTGCTCGGCTAACTGTGCCACTTCCGAGCGCAGGTCAATAGTATCGTCTTCTTCACATACACGCTTCTCCGTGCTGTCGCTACATTCGATCACCGGCTTTTGCGGATCCATGTCGTCTGTAGTAGCGCCTCGTTCGGCATCCGACCCCCCGTGAGTTTTCGCAAGAAGCTGATCTTTTTCCGTCACAAGGTCCTGGATACTCTGTTGCAACATTCCGACTTCTTCGCTGTACTTTGTCTGCATCTGTGAGATCGTCATGAGCTTCGCATCCATCTGTGCCTGCAAAACCTTCGCAATGTGCTCTTTCTCCATCAACGCCTCACTCATCTCGCAAACATGACGTTGCGCAACCTCAATTTCCTCGCTCATTTTTTCTGCCTCTGCTTGTAGCTCTTCTTTCTCCAGAGCTGTCTGTTCGTGGTCTGACTGCAGTTGTGCAAGCTCCTGCATGATGCTTTGCAACTCTCCAGCAAGTTTCTCCACAACCAAACTTTCGAGTTGGTCTGTAACAGGCGCATCTTGTCGTGATACCGTATCGTTTTTTATCGACGGCATTTCGTTTTGCGATACAGCCTTTTGCTCTCCATTTTCCAGCGCACAAGCATCCTCTTCTTGCAGCACCAGCTCTTCCTCCTCTTCTGCTATAGACTCGACTTGTGAAGCTACCTCTGTCGACTCGACTTCATTCTCACGTAACGTCGGATAGTCAATTTCCACGTCGCACTCTACAGCGGCCAGCCGAAGAACAGTCTGTGACGCTTCCGCATCTTTCAAACCGCTATCCCGCTCATTCCCACTACTGCGCGAACTCATACTGCCTTCATCACCAAGCGTCGAAATGGTGGCTGTCAGCTGATGTTTCTCACGGTCGAGTCGGTGCTGCAAATCACGGGACTCAAGTTTCAAGGTCTCCAGCTGACAACGGAGTGCACCCAATTCTTCTTCTGCCATTTGTTGGGTGCTGGCTTTTTCCATCTCCAGATCGTGACAGCGCTTCTTTTCCTTGACCAAAGATTCCTGAGTAAACTCTAGCTTGGCCTTCATTTCTTCGACGAGCGTAGTGACCTTCAGCGAACTTTCTGAGCTGTGATGATCTACTTCTAGGCACCGGGCTTTCACATCTTGCCCCAGCAATTGCTTTCCATCCATAGCATGCATCGACTGCACGTTAGCCACCATGTTTGCTAGCACGTCAAACGCACGAGTACGCTGAGCATCATCGAGCAATGCACGTTTTTCGTGCACGATTGTTTCCACTGCAGCAATCGCGTCCTTGCAACTTCCATCCTGGTGAATCCAATAGACTGCCGAAAACAGATCGAGCACGTTTTTGGCGCTATCGTCCAGTTCACTCCACGCCGGCTCAAGTTTGCTCATCGCTGGTAATGGAAGCTTGAAGTTCCCTTTTGCTGCTGAAATATCATTGACGTCTTCATTGACGTGAAAAGGTGTCTGAGGATCCACGTTTTCTTTTGCCAAAGAATGCCGTTTGTGAGGATACAGGTGGGGCAAGAAGGAACGTAGTGCCTTGATATCGGCAGGAAAGTCGCCTGGTCCCCACGTCTCCCTCGTCCGTTTGCCCCGCTGTTTGCGCTCTTTGCTCGCAGCGTTGGCTTTTGCCACAGAGGTGCTGGAAAGGATCAGCCCCATGAGTCGCGCCATCTCCGACTTGTTGCAATGCTTCTCGCTAATCAGCGCTTCGTTCTCAGCTTTCAGCGCAGTCAGCGCTTCCGAGTTCACCAGCGTTCGGAGCTCGTGCACCTCGCGCTTAAGACGGCGAAGCTGTGTCTGGTCATCAAGCACTTCATTCACAGTCGCTGTTGTCTGTATATCTTTTGCACGGGCTGCAAACTGCAGCGTACTCTTGGTTTCTTCAATGTACCTGTCGCTTGGGGTCACACAGCAGATGATGAGCGTGCGTGTGTTCCCGCCGAGTGAGTTCTGCAGGAGTCGCGTGAGCTTGCTGTCTCGGAACGGCGCATTCTGTCCGCCTCCGCCTGAGCTAGCGAGAGCGTTGATCACGCGCGCCAGCGTCAGCAGCGACTTGTTGATGTTGCCGGCTTCTCGTTGCCGAATGCCTTCGGCCCCAGTATGTCGGAGACTCTCCGATCCAGCGAGGTCGACGAGATTTAGGCTGGCCACCAGCACCGCGCCGTCCACGTCTTCCTCGGACAGCCGTCTCGAGACGTCCTTGTGCTTGCTCTCAATCACGATCCGAAAGACGCTGTGCGAGCGCGAGCTCTTGTCGTTCATGGCCGTGTGGCCCACCGTGCGGTTCCGATTGCCCGTCTGCAGCAACGTCACAATGTCCTCGTAGTTCGTAATGATCTTCTCTTGGCATTCGACGTACACGCCTTTCTTCGGGTCTTCCCGGAGCTTCAAGTTCGCGCCTCGGTCCGTCGGCGTCAGCAGATCTTTCACCACTTCGTTGTAGATCTCGACAAACGAGACGCGCAGCAGAAAGTCGCGGTCGCCGCACGCTGCAATGAACTGGAAAATGTCGTCGACGGCCAACTGCAAGAGCCCCGAGCGACTCGTCTCGGGCTCGACCGGCGCCCCGCCGTCGCCTTGCATCGTGTACGTCTTGCCCGAGCTCGTCTGTCCGTAGGCAAAGATCGTGCCGTTGATGCCCTGCAGCGTCGAGTGCACGATGCGGCGCCCCACGCGCGCGTACATGGCGGCCGTGTCGCTGCTGGCGTCAAAGATCTCGTCGTACTGGAACACGTTACCTTTGCCAGAGAGCGGCGCGCCCGTCTCGGGGTCCGTGAGCGACACCACGTGCAGCGACGGCACGCAGCACAGCGCGGCCGCGTCGCCCGCGCGCGTCTCCCGCTCGTTCAATGGCCGCACGCGGATGCACACGGCAATGTTCTCTGCCGCGGCAGACGTGGCGTCGGTGGCAATGGACGCGGCGTCGGCCATTTTCTCGATGCGACGCAGTAGCGACACACGCGCTCCTCGTTGGGCCTCGTGGGCGGCGCGGGACGTTCACGAGTGCGCGCGCGCGGAACGACCAAAAGGAAACCAAAGGCGATCGCCGAGGAGTGGGTACATTTTAGAAGAGTGAAGGTCGGTGGGAGTGGCAGATGGGTACATTTTAGAAGAGTGAAGGTCGGTGGGAGTGGCAGATGGGTACACTTGATTGGATACAACCCGTTCAAACCGACTAAAGTTGCAAAACAGCAGCAACGGGCGAGTGTTAGTTCGATAGGGAACGACGAGGACCAGGGGCTCGAGTGATTCCACGTGGTGGTAGTCGATTCTGGTGGCGAATCGACAAGTGCTTTGAGGTTCCGAGGGTAAACTGTATAACAAGGCTCAAGCCGCGTTCGAAAAGGACTGCGAGAGGCTCATTTAGCAGTTGCAAGAATGGTCGGAACGGAATGAGAGGCACTTTGCGGCTCGTTGACAAACCTCACTACTGTTCTAGGGTCAACGCCATGCAGTCGTGGAGCATCGGGTGTCCGGCAAGTACCGGACTGAACGAACGCCAATAGTTTTCTGGTGTACGCTTCGAGCAGGAAACGAAACGACAGCTATCGGCACGTGGTGGCCAAAGAAGTCTACATCACGTTTTCGGGGACGTCGGGTCGCAACTCAAACGTGCTGGCAGGAGGTGATCACCTCTTGGATGGAGCAGATCAGAATGCCCAGTAGTAGTCAGCAACATGCGCTTTACAGCCTGGCAGGTAGACTATTGTCAGTATCTCGAGCAATGTTTTGGCGGCTGGAGCGAGCACTTGGCGATGACGTGATCGCGCATGTCACCCAATGGAAGCGGACATACTGTGTACTTCGGTCCGTCTTTGGAACGAAACCATCGAGGCAAGTAGAGCGGGGACAGGTGTCGCTGGAGAAAAGTGTCTAAGTGGCTTCAAAGTTCTGTGGACTTCGGCAAGTGTCAGTCAGCACTGTCGACCCGAGAGCGCAAAGCGATCCATGCAAGGTGCAAGATACACGACTCTGGCAATGCATTCAGCCAGTGGACACTAAACTGCAAGAAGCGCCACACCATGTGGCGAGTCACGTCCAGCTACTAGATCATTTGCAAACTGCTTGTGGTTGCCAACAGGTAGAATGCACGCTTGCGGCAAACAGCGACTCGGCAGCATTCGACGATGATCCTCCGTTCAGTCCGGCAAAGAAACAACTTGGAAAGGCTTGCGTTGCTGCGTCCTCACACGACCAGTGTAGTCGTTGTCGAGAAAGTCGTCATCGTCCAATCTGTTGTACTCGTCGTCCTGGTCCAGGGCACAGCGACAAGACACTGCAAGAGACTCGGTACATTGCGACTAGACATCGACCGCACATGCGACGAACGGGACCAAACACAGGGATTGATCAGGCTACCAAGCACCTAAGCGCGGCTGTATTTTGCAATGACGCTAACGACCGCTGCTACAGCAACACAAGAGCGACACCTTATGCCACCAGCGTCGAGGCCGTGGCCGACTCGTACTTCCAGTTGGGCGAGAGCTTGCGGTTCTTGCGGTAGTAACGAGCGAGGCGGTGGATACGCGACTCAATGAGGATCAGACGGAACTTGGAGTCCTTGTCCTGACGGTTGCGCTCCAGGTGTTTGCGCACAGCCACGGCCTTCTTGATGAGCATGTACAAGTCCTCCGGCAGCTCAGGAGCAAGGCCTGGACGCGGTGGCGTCAGCAAGAGAGCAACCCGCGTACCCCCACGTCAAACGGAGAGGCGCCCACAGCCATCGGATCCGCACGTCAGGTGGTACCGAGCAGGATGGACCCAAAATAGCACGTCAAGTACCCAAAATAGCACAAACAAGTCAGTCGACGAGACACGCGAGGGCATCGATCGACTTGGTGCAACCACGACGTTCGAGAGAGACGCACCGTTCTTCTTGAGCACACGCAGCACCTTGGAGCCAGTCACGCTCTTGACTTGGGCAATGCCGTGCGAGTCACGCAGGATCACGCCAATCTGCGACGGCGTCAGACCCTTCTTGGCGAACTTGCAAATGTGGTCTTCCACGTCCTCCGCCGACACCTTGAGCCACGACGGCGGCGAGCGCTTGTACGGGCGAGCGGACTTGCTCATGCCCTTTCCGTGCGAGTGCATGCGACCCATGGTGACAACGAGGTGGTGGTAGTGGAAGAAGCTGCGGGCTGGCTGGCTGGTGTGACCTGGCTAGAGAGATCAAAGAGTGAGGCCCGGCAGGACGCCCGCACGCACTAAATTGGGTCACAGCACCCGAGTCCTCAACCAACCAACCGCGCGGCCAACGACGACCTACGATTGGTTGAAAAGCGAGCGCCACGACGACCCCCGGGGTGTCACGCGTAAGTACGATTGCGGCCTGCGTGATACGCGCTGGAATTGTTGGTGACCATTTCGCAGCGACCATTTTTGTAGTGACCATTTATCGGTCATCGACAACCGACATGACCGCTAGCGACAATGAGAATGACATTGACGTAGTGTTCCAGTCGAATGCACTGGACGTCGTCGGCTCGTGGCTGATTGGCGGATCTGCCACTGAAGACAGCACGACGCGGCACGAGACGCAGCCGCCAGTGCGTCGTCCTGTCACGCTCTATCGGCCGTCGTCTTCGTCCGCGCCGACTCTCACGCGACCGAACGCCGCGCACGCAGACTCTGCGCTGACTGAGACGGAGCGAGAGATGAAGCACAAGATGCTGCGAAAGCGCCGAGGCACTGACGCAGAAGAGGCGGTCAAGGGCGAGCAGGAGGCGCAGACGCAGCGAGACGAGGCGCAGGACGAAGAGGAGCAGGAGCTCGTGCGGCTCAAGACGCAGCGACACGATCGAAAGCGTAAACGCACAGCGCAGGACGAGCTACTGGATGCACTGAGGGGCGAAGCGGCCAAGAAGAAGGCCAAGAACCTGAAACGGAAGCTGCAGCTGCAACGCAAGACGCAGCAGCAGCGACAACAGAAACCAACACACGGACTCGGCGTTGCCACGCAATGACGTGAGCTGCGCCCGCTCGCGGAACGTGACAAGACTCTCTCGCTTTTGTCCGTGTTACCGGCAACTGATGCGCGCCGTCGTACGTCGGGCGACACGAAGCCAGGCCCAAGCACTTGACAATGATGCGGTATGCGTTCGTACCATACATGTGGGGTACCGCAAGCACAGACGTCCGTACTGGCCGACTGTGGCTACAGATAGCTGATTAGCTCCGCAACAACGCGTGTCGTCGGATATCCGACGCCTTAGGCAGACGTTGAAGTGGACCGTTCGTGCGTCTGCGCCTTCTGATTCGTCGAAAGCACAAGCAGCCAATCAACACGCTCCACTTCAGGACAACTCCGTGACTTCAACGACCACCTGCGCGCTCTCGAGCGTCCTGCACGTCGATCGTGACGCTCACTTTCCAATTCGCTTCGCACTTGCCACTCGTCCATCAACTCGTCTTCTCCAGTGCGCCTATTCGACCCATGGGCAACCTCTTCTCCTTCTCCCTCGACGCCCTCTACAGCAGCTTGGCCTCGTTTCTCGGCAACCGCGAGAGCCGCATCATGATCATCGGCCTCGACGGCGCGGGCAAGACGACGTTCCTCTACAAGATCAAACTCGGCGACCTCGTGACGACAATCCCTACAATCGGCTTCAACGTCGAGACGTTCGAGTACAAGAACATCAAGTTCACGGCGTGGGACATTGGCGGCCAAGAGAAGATCCGCTCGCTCTGGAAGCACTACCTCTCCAACAACGACGCCGTCATCTTTGTCGTCGATGCGGCCGACGTGGACCGCATTGACGAGGCAAAAGAGGCGCTGCACCTGATCTTTGAGGCCGACGAGCTCGCGCAGACCAAGTTGCTCGTGTACGCGAACAAACAGGACCAGCCGGACGCGCTGTCGGCCGACGAGCTCCGGGAGAGACTCGAGCTGGCAGACGTGACGCAGAACCCCACGAGCGTCCAGGCCTGCGTTGCAACGACGGGCGAGGGCCTGTACGAGGGTCTCGACTGGCTGAGCAAAGCAGTCACGGGCGCGCTCGACGCGTAGACGGGCGAACAACGAACCGCTGGGGCACATTCCCTCCGTCGACGCGAGCACAGGACATTGCGCTTCTCAACGGCACTCGCGTGCGGGTTGGTCCGTATCAGAAACGTATCCGAGCAAGTGGGTAAGTAAAGTACTACTACTACTACTACTACTACTACATATTCCAAGAAAGAAGCACTTGTTCTCTGGCGTCTTTCTCTCGTTCTTCGGCGCGTCAGAAGACAGAAGCTCTTGTTCGCTGGCGCCTTTCTCTTGTCCTTCCTTCGATGCCGACGGAAGCGCTTGCTCTCTCGCGTCTTTCGCTCGTTCTGCCTTGGATGCCGACGGAAGGAAGTGCGCACACCCAATCACGCAGCGCGCCCGTCTCTTTTCTCGCAGCGACCTTTCGCTCCCTATCGGACGACACACCAGTGTACTCGATCTCCTTCGAAATCGCATACAACGAGCGGTTGACCGGGGTGACCCGTGCTTAAGTACGCACCGAGCCCTCCTATCCTACACTGCAGCATACCGGTACGACCGCCTCCATTTCTAACGAAAGAAATGCTCGCGCACAACTCGCACACTCTGTCGCCGCACCACATATTGCGAGCCGTCTCAAGCGCGTGTCGAATGGCGGCGCTCTCAAGCGCACAGTGGCGCACAGCCGCTCAGCAATGGACCGATTGGGACGTGAACATCGAGACGAAGACGCAGGTCCAGCAGCTCGTCGAGTCCAACGACGCAACGCGTCTCCAGGAGCTCTTCTGCCGTCGCATAGCGTTCGGCACGGCCGGTCTGCGCGCAGTGATGGGCCCCGGGCCCGCGGCAATGAACGACTTGGTCGTGATCCAGACGGCGCAGGGGCTCTGCAAGTACCTCGAGACGCAGCTGGGCGAGCGGGCCAAGGCCATGGGCGTCGCTTTGGGCTATGACCACCGCCGCCAGCGGTCGCTGAGCTCCGAGAGGTTTGCTGAGCTCACGGCCAGCGTCTGTCTGCACGCCGGCTTTCGCGTGTGCCTGTATGGCGACGTGGTGGCCACGCCGCTCGTGGTGCGTACGCGCACACGACTTGCACCTGCATGTGTGTGGTGGGTACTGACTGACCTGGTGTCGTTTTGTGTCGTTCTGTGTCCTGTTGGGTCGTCATTTGGTGTCTTTTTGTATCTTTTTGTGTCCTGTTGGGTCGTTATTTGGTGCTGTGGGTGCTGTGGGTGTTTTATGCTGTGAATGTGTCGATTTTGTGGGTGGGTGCTTTTTTGTGACCGCGCAGCCGTTTTGTGTCGAGCAAAAGGGCTGTGCCGCGGGTGTGATGGTCACGGCCTCGCACAACCCCAAGGCCGACAATGGCTACAAAGTCTACTGGTCGAACGGCTGTCAGATCATTGGTCCACATGACGAAGGAATTGCGAACGCGATCGCGGCGAATTTAGCGCCGTGGAGGCAATACGACGAGTCGCGCGAGCAGCTCCAGCAGATGTTCCCCGCAGCGATGGAAGATCCGAGCGATGAGCTCTTCCCGCGCTATTTTGGACGAGCAGGTGCAGAGCTGTGTCGCTTTCCAGCAGCCAATGCCCACACGACGCTCACAATTGCCTATACGGCCATGCACGGCGTCGGTCACGCGTTCACCAGTCGCTCGTTTGCAGCTTTTCAGCACAAGGAGTACGTCCCAGTGCAGGCCCAGCTCTTGCCGGACCCTGAGTTCCCCACTGTGGTTTTTCCCAACCCGGAGGAAGGCAGAGGAGCGCTGCAGCTTGCGATGGAGACAGCTGAAGCCAGCAGAGCGAGACTGATTCTGGCCAACGATCCGGATGCTGACCGTCTGGCCGTGGCAGAGCGAGATGCGAACTCGGAGACTGGCTGGCGGATCTTCACGGGCAACGAGATTGGCGTGTTGTTGGGCCACTGGGAGCTCGAACAGTACGTGCGACTGCACCCGGACTGCGACCGCAAGCAGCTGTACTTTGTTGCATCAACGGTGTCGTCCAAGATGCTGCGTGCTGTTGCGCAGAAAGAGGGCCTGAACTTCGTCGAGACGCTCACTGGGTTCAAGTGGATGGGCAACAAGACTGCTGAACTGCGCAAAGCTGGCAAGACCGTGTTGTTTTCGTTCGAAGAAGCCATCGGCTTTTGCGTCGGTGGGCTCGTGAAAGACAAGGATGGAGTGGTCGCTGCTGCGGTGTTTGCCGAGATGGCGGTTCAGCTGGAAGCGACGAAAAAGATGACGGTGAGCCAGCATCTGAGCGCGTTGTACACGCGCTACGGTCACTTTGTGACGCAAAACCACTACGTCAAGTGCTACGACCCCGTCAAAATTCGTGCTATCTTCGCACGGTTGCGCAACAGCGGGAAGTATTGGGATAGCTGCGGCGATTATGCCATCTCCCATGTCCGTGACCTCACCACAGGGTATGACAGCTCCCAGCCTGACAAGCGTGCCGTGCTGCCTGTGAGCACTTCGACAGAGATGATCACGTACACGTTTGCCAATGGATGCGTTGCCACACTGCGTACGAGTGGGACTGAGCCCAAGCTGAAGTACTACGTCGAGCTCGCTGGTCGGGTGGGCCAGAGCTGTGAGGAGGTCACTGCGGAGCTGAGGAGGCAGGTCGAGCAGATTGTGGAACAAATGCTGCAGCCTCAAGAAAACGGCTTGGAGCTGGCGCCTGCAGACGAGTGAATGGCTGCAGAAGCAGATTCTTACGTGTACCAGTTGCTAATGTACTTGCCATTCATTCATAGCCTCTGCTCTTTCACTGCTTCCGCTGACCTCTCTTCTTGGCTTGTGGTGGATTTTTATGTGCTTCGTTGTCGGAACTACCTCTCGAAGGTGCTCGTGGATCGATTGATCGGGGTGTGATGAATTGTTTTTATGGCTCGATGAAGTCTACAGCGCCCCGTCAACCGCTGCCTTCGTCACTCGGCACCGCAAAGTACATGTCCTGCATCGTAAACTGCAGTGAGGTCAGTCCCGCAGTAGTGCAGCCATCTCCAACGATCTCGGTCTCAGCTTCCGAGCATGGCACTGGTGTCAGTATCCGACGGTTCTTGCCTTTCTTCTTTTCTCGCTTCCGCGTCGAGCTCGCACCGTCCACGAGATGCTCATCGACCGGACGAAAGCAAATCGTGTTTTTCACCTCTGGAACCGGCTTGGCCGGCGTCTCGGACAACGAAGATGACATGGCCATATCAATGCTCGTGGACAAGTCTAATGGTGGAGGAATCTCTGGCGTCACAGGGCGATGTCCACTACGGCCGTCGAATACCGGCGAGCCACCGATGCCAAAGTACGAGTCCATCTCCATCACGAACAATTGCTCGTCGCCATTGGCATAGCCCTCGAGGGTCGTCGACATCGTGCTAGCACTGAGATCATGACTCGGGTTTGGCCCCTTGCGCTTTACCTCTAGAATTTGGCCGTCCGGATGGTCTTCGTCAATTGCTTTGAACGTTACTTTCGGGTGCGCCCACAGCGGTAGCGATCGTTGGGCACATGTCCGCAGTTCACTCCTGACGCTAGCGTCTCCGTTCACGCTACTGCTGCTCAATCTCAATCTGCTTTGACTGTTCACGACGGACGAAAGCGGCTCTGTCTTTCGTCGTCCTGACGCAAAGAGCGCCCACGACTTGAGCTCAGTCACACTGGCTTCAAAGCCGAACGATGACAGCGATGACTTGGAGTTCTTCGTCTTGGAATCCGCTGGCGTCGCACGAGCTCGGTCTGCCTTGTGCTTGGAAAGCGCCGTCACTCGCATGTCATACAGCTTGAGGACCGAATCGCAGCAAATCAGTATCTTGAGTCCATCCGGGGCAAACACGCTGCACAGACGCCGACGTAGTCGCCGACGGCGGGAAGACACACCCATGTCGTTTTCAAAGTGTTGATGGCCGAAATCTATGGCGGATGTGGCGAGGTGGGACAGCAGTGCCTGTGATGCATCCAAAGCTGATTCCATCAGCGTGCTACTGCGTGTCGTGACAGATGAGCTGTTGGATGCGAAACCTGGAGGAGACGACGACGAAGACGTCGAAGACATCGACGAAGACGACGACCAACGCGACAAACGCGTTGGACGAGATGTGGAAGAAGCTGGCAGTGCCGACTTGTGGGGCGGCACGGTCGATACGTCAGGAATCTTGAGCTCATGACGGATTCGAAGTACCTGGGTCTGCGTCCGCGTCTCAAGCGTACGAAAGTCGGCATAAAAGTCGCTGACTTCGCGTCGACAAAAGCCAGTGGTCGACGCATCCGTGTCCGATTCATCGTTGCGGCCAATCGTGTTTGCATGCGTATCAGCACTGATGCGCGCTCCTTCAGGATGAAGCGCGTACAGATGGCTCGTGCCGTGTGCTGATGTCACATTGATCCACTTCCCATCCTGACTGAACGCAATGTCTTGGATGCTAGCGTGGGTAATTCCACGCTGCAACTTGTACACCAACTGATGGTGAAGTGTTCCGTGCCCATCGCCTCCTGCCGCCGACTTGTTTCCTATGCTTTGCAACGGTGGTGACAAGCGGTATACATGGAGGTTCTGGCCTTTGTACGAGCTCGTCGCGAGAAGAAGCCCAGAAGCATCCAACGAAAGATTGACCAGCGCATTAGAGTGACAGGAAAAGTTGGCCATCACGCGCTTCGTCACCAGATCGAGCACCACCACCCATCCTGGTCGTTTCTTCGACGGCGGGGCCGCTACCTCATCGCCACCTTGTCCTGTGCGACAATTGCTACCTGTTGAGCCATTACAAGACGACTTTCGTGACTCGCCAGAATGCCGGCGACGGGACGGTAACTTCTCCGTGCGATGCTCGTGTGTCAAGCTCGATGTCTTGCCAGGTGAAGACGACAAATATGGCGCAATGGTAGCACGGCCGACTTCCGACAAGTAGTACAGTCCCGATGCTACGTTCTGTGCCACGTCAATAGCCGTGTAAGCTGGCGCATCGCGAGCCTCGGCAGCAGACAAGCGACTGTTCACTAGCGCTTCAATCGGCATGTCATCAAAGTCCGAGTCACTGTCGCCAATGTCCGACACCGCGTGTCGTCGACCAGCGCTGTGATTCGTCTCATTGCTTTGCACAAAGCCCGGGTACGCCAGCCATCGTGAGCCGAGGGCCATGGCCGGCGATGCCGTACAAATCACCTGCTGCAGCTCAAATGTAGCCAAGTCGTAGACAAACAGTTCACACGTCTCACACAGCACAGCGGCCATCACGGCGTTCGTCTGCACGTCCACGACCAGTGACGGCGAGCGCGGCAGCTTGTGCAGCACCTGCTGCTCGTCCAGCGCCAGCACCACAATCTCTTCTTGTCCGTCGTCCTCTCCAATGTCACTGTGTCCCTCTAGCTCTTCGACATAGGCGTCACGTCCAATGCTCGATACAAAGTCCTCCTCTTCCTCCTCCTCCTCCTGCTCATAATCGCCGCCGTTATTGCTCCTTGAGCTCCGTTCCAGCACAAACAGAGCGCCCAGCGCGTCCACAGTGGTCGGGATCGCGTACAGACAAAAGAACCGCACGTCCGACAGCTTCGCTGTGTCCTTTGCAGGGTCTGTAAGCAGCTGCAACAAGCACAACACACAGCAGTCAGTTCCCAAGTGGCTTGACAAGAGTTCCACGTCGTTTGCAGTGCCAGTGACCGCGTTGACAGCGCAAGAGACGCACTTCAATCGGTGTACAGCTCTCACGTGCGGCGCTGAAGCCGTCGAGTCGGTAGAGGCGCCAAGCGGCGGCGCGTGTGCACAAGAGCAGATACGAGCGGCCGTTGACGCGCTGGACGGCGCAGAACGTCACTTCTAGCGACCTCTCGGACACGAGAGAAGGCGCGTTCGATGCAGCAAGAGACGGCGCAGACGAAGAAGCAATGGGCAGGTCGGCCGGTCCGCTGCGACGCGCAGTACGGGCGCTCGCGCGTCGCCGCATCGAGCGAGAAGGCGACGACTTCATGCGCTTTTTTCTTTGAAGAACGAGTCGACCGGATCGAGGTGTAGGGTTGTTGGTCCGTCACTTGCAAAGCGCTGTTTTGACCAATGAGTACACGAGTTGACCGACTCAGAAACGCGCGACGCCGGTTAGAAATGGATTCGTAAAGGCTCGTCTCTAGGCTGGTCCGATGTCTTGTCGTATACTACAGGCACTGTATACACAACCCCACGACCTGCTGCCAACTCACTTGTGACTTGTTTGCGAGCGAACGAGAGAAAGAACAACAAGATACGATAAACGAACGTGCCCAGTGACTCGGGCATTCCCAGCTACCTATTTCCGTCCTCGACGCCCCCCCATTTCCGTCCTCGACGCACCCATTACTGTCCTCCACGCGCCCATTCCGTCTTCGGCACTACTTTCTCCACCCCACCTCGAGCCTCCCATACGAAAAGTAAGATGAACACGGGCGAGTCGCTTGGCCTCGTGCTTAACGACGGCCACGGACTGCTGCTCAAGGCCGAGGGCGACCTGTCGTACACGGCGCGCCACCAGAAAAACGGCTTCTTCACGAGCATTGCCGAGAAAGCCATCGACTTGGGCCAACCCGCCGACGACGGCGACGACGGCGACACGGACCGCAACGCGAGCCGCAGCGCCGTCCAGTCGGTGCCGCTCGTGCGCTTGGAGACGAACCGACGGGCGGTGGTCCTGGCTAAGTTCGAGTTCGAGGGCCGCGAGCGCACGCTCGTCGTGTCCAAGGCGAGCCAAGCGGTCACTACCGCGCTCGAGTGACATCCGCGGTCCGTGTGGCTTCTGAAGTACCGACAGCCGCCGACGCGGGTGAAGTAGTCGTAGCTGAAGTAGCCGCAGCAGCAGTCGAGTGGACCGACCGATCAGCAGACCAGTCACTTGCCATAATGGATACACCGATCCACACTGATCCACACCGATCCACACTGATCCACACTGATCCACACTGATCCACACTGCTGGGGCTAATTGTCACTGTCCATCGCCTCGTCGGGCTGCTGCTCTCTGCGGTCGTCTTCTCGCTCGTGCGTCTTCTTGTGCCGTGCAAAGTTCGACACTTGCGTGAACTTCTTGTGGCAGCCTTCGTACGGACACACGTAGGGCTGGAACCCCGCGTGCATCCAAATGTGTTCCTTGAGCGACACCGAGTGGGCGAAGCTCTTGCCGCAGCCGTCGTAGTGGCACGTGTAGGGCTTAATCCCGGCATGCGTTCGCTCGTGGGCGCGGAGGTTCGAGCTATGGGCGTACCGCTTCGTGCAGCCAGAGTAGGAGCACTTGAGCGGCTTCTCGCCCGTGTGCGTGCGAATGTGGTTCTGCAACTCGGAGCGGCCGCGGAACTGCTTCGCGCACGTCGGACACTCGTGCTTCTTGCTCGGCTTGGCGCGCGACTTGGTCACCTTTGGCTTCGAGTACATCTCGACTTGCTCGAGGAACTTGTTCTGACTCTCGTTGCTCGTGATGGCCGAGATCTTGGTCGTGCTGAGGGCCAGCGTCTCGGTGAGATGGCGCGCTGTACTGCTGCTCACGGGCGCGACGCTCGTTGCCGTTAGCATCGTGCCTCCCGCTTGCTCCTCGTCGGTTGCTGCGAGACTGATACCCGTTTGGCCGAGCGACTTGATGTAGCCGTCGAGCTCAATCATCGAGTCCTTTACGTAGTCGCTGATGGCCCAGACCGTGTTTTCGTTCATCTGGCCCAGATCGAACGCATAGCCGTCGTCGTCGATCTGCCGGACCGTGTCTGGCTGGTACTTGCTAATGACGTCCATCAGTCCGCGTAGATACTGGCTCGGCAGCATCGTGATCTTCTGTACAAGGCGCTGCTTGTCGTAGAAACTCATGAGCTTGACGTTCTCCGGGTACATGTAGTCTCCCGTCGCAGGGTCCATGTACTTGGTATTGCCTCCAGATCCCTCGGCAACAGGTGGTGCCACATCGGCAGCAGCAGCAGTAGCATCACTAGTAGTAGTAGCATCAACTGCGGCATCAGTCGTAGTAGCAGTGGCGGCTGTAGACAGCCCCGCATAATGGTCGCTCAACTCGAGACTTGCCTCTGCGTCGTCCGTTGCTGCATTCTCTGTCTGTCCCGTCGTCATTCTGTTCGATGCTCCAGCACTTGATCCACTAGCAGCAACAGCACCAGCAGCAGTAGCAGACGATGACGAGGACGAGGACGCCAGCAGAGCTCCGACCACGGAGAACGGACTGGACGAGCGCTTCTCCAGCACTGCACTCATGGACGGAATGGGTCCGAGAGCACTGAAGCCGTCCACGTCGCCGAGTATCCACGACGCCGGATCCTTCTGCAGACTCATTGCCATAACGTCCGAGTACGTCCCACTCGATGTCGCATTGCTATTGTGGTTACCGCCGCGGGACTTGTCCAGCGCGTTCTCTGTCGTCAACGGTGGGTCGAAAATCCCGTCTTTCGAGTCGAGTCCTGCGGCAGACGCGTCGCGCTCGTGGAGTTTCTGACGCTTACTGCGCGGCGACGCGGCGCTGGCACTGGACAGAGACGCAGCTGCGTCCGTTTGTAATTGCGCTGGACCTGGCGCCGTAGCCGCGACAGGAGACGATGCCGCCGCTTCGCTGCTCATGCCGATTCCCGCGACGATTGTAGCTGCTCACGCGTGACTTTCGAGCGCTCTTTGACTGCGGGTTCTAAATTTAGAAACGCGTTGGCCCGTGCCGCGACTAAAATAGGTCCACGGCCCGTCTAGATTTCTCAACAGGAATAGCGATCACCGGGCACGTCGATTGCTGGAGCGGCTTGCGCCGACGATGCGATATCGCGTGCTGTGGTCGTGGGGGGCGACGAGCGGATCGAAGCAGTGCGTCGTTGCAAACAATCGCTCTCGTTCGACGTCCTTCACTCTCGTCTCCACCCACGAGAACCCGCAGTAGTCAATAGCTCTTTTCACAGGTACAAACTCGCTCGGTCAGTCACGTCCGTCGGACATGACCGTCTACTAATACGATGCGGATCAACGACATGGGACTGACTCGGTCGGGTCGTCGTCAGTCGGGCAGAAATGATCCGAGCAGCTTCCTCCCCACTAGCTATCGAGTGGACTCGAGAGCCCCCGAAGCCGCTGACTGATCCGGTCTTCCGTATGTCCATCCGCAACGAGTAAGTGGGTGAGCAGTGGGCAAGTGGGCAAGTGCGTCCCGCTGACTCAGTCAGCCAAATCGCGCTTGAACGCCGCTTCCTTCTTCGTCACACGGATGTCCATGGGCATCACACATCCCCCACTTTGTAGCTACGCCCGGGGCAAACAGCAGACTTCACGTGGCCCCCGCTGGGTCCACGCAAATCGGTGCCTCCCGTTCATGTTCCGTCTACTAAACCTGCGCGTGAGGCGACGACAGCTTCAACGAAACCAGCAACTCGCCACACGCTTTGCCGAAAGCCGCACGTTCGGCAAAGCGCTGGTCGCTGCTTGCTCGTGTCGCTATGTGCGTAGCGTAAACAATAGCGGGAACTCGTTGACGGCCGACTTACGAGAAGAAGGAGCTCTTGAACAACTACTCACGCAAACCACTCGATGCACCTGCGCTCAAAGCCTTTCCACGCGCGTTCAACGAGGCCGAAGCCCACCTCACGTGTGGAGCCGCACGTGTATAATTGAGACCGCGGGCGGGGACCGCATGCACGATCTGAAGAGTCGAAGAGTCGAAGAGAGAGAGAGAGAGCACGAGACTGGATAAGCCATGGGCGACCAAGTCGGAAGAAGGCAGTGAAAGCGCTGGCACCGCTTCGAAGCGGTCAGCAGCAGTTTCTTCGTCGCGTCGCGTCGCCACACACACACACGTCCAGTCTTCCCCTCACCTCGTCCTCCTCCTCTCCGTCTACCATCCAGTGCAAGTTGTAGCTGCGTTGTTGCATAGCTACAGTCCTGACATGCAAAGGAGCTGCGCAGTCAGCTGTCGTGACGAGCACGTGCTCGTCAGACGTCTGTCGACACCAAACACCCGGCGCGGTCGTCAAAACCTCGTGGCACGAGCCGCGCACATCCAGCTGCTCGCGCGCGTGTGGCTCGCCCGCACTCTGTTGTCCATGTCGTCAAGTGGTGGCAGCCATCTGCTGCCGGATGTATTTGTCCAGGCAAACTGGCAGTCACGCCCGACGCCGCGCCGCCATCAAAAGGCTCAACAACTCGCACGCACATCTCACTTTACGATTTCCACGCGCGCTCCACGTCGTCGTCGTCGTCGTCGTCGTCGTCGTTCGTCCGAGTCGTTTCGCCTGCTCTCGACTCTTGCGGACGCGTCGCGCATAACCGCCAAAGTCGCTGTAGCTGTAACGTGCGACCTGCACCGAGAGATCCGCACCGTCGCCACTACTACTACTGGACGTGCGGCCTCGGACGCACTCAGCCGCCCAAACATACCCACATCTCCATCGACTTCTACATCGATCGGTCGATCTCTCGCTCTCGCTCTCTCTCTCTCGATACCTATCTCCCCGTCCGACCGTCCGGCCGCCATGACTCGACAGGGCTACCTCATCGTCTACAACAAGCGCAGTCGCCCGACCGTGTGCTACCTCTCGCTCGAAGACGGTTTCCTGCGGCAATACGCCACGCCCGCGTGCAACATGTGCCTGAGCGAGCTGCAGCTCTCGGGCTGCAAAGTCGACGTCCGGGCGCAGCACCGCGCGGACGGCGCCCCCAACAGCTTCTACCTCGAGCTCCGCAAGGTCTTTGTCAGCGACCGGTCGTACACGCTCGGCGCGGCCCAGCGCATCGACTTCACCGCGAGCAGCAGCGACGACCGCCAGGCGTGGGGCAAAGCGCTCTTCTCGTGGCAGCGCTTCTACTGGTGCGAGCCGACGGCCGAACCGCCGGCAAAGAGCGCACCCGCGAGCGCAACGCGTCGGCAGCTCGAAGAGCTCCTCGCGACGCACTTTGTGCGGCCGCAGCAGCCGGCGACCGGTCCGTCCATTTCCTTCACAACGGCCACACAGCCGCTCGCGTTCCTGCGCCGCAACGCGCAGTCGCTGCGCCGGTCGCTGGTGCTCACGATGACGTCCAGTGCTGTGAACGCGCGGAAGCCGAAGGACAGCAGCGACTGGACGACGGACTGCCGGAAGGTCAAAGTCGGACTTGCGAAGGTCGAGAGGCCGCAAGCGGTCGAGAGCGGCCGCGCGACGACCGTCACGCCGCGTCAGGTACCCACGACGCACTGCGGCTGCAGCTAAACGCCGTGTTATTAGTACTGTAGTTAGCAAGTTAGTTTCGACCCGAGTGAAGTGCGGTCGGCAGTGTCCGTCCGTCCATTTGTCGGTCCGTCCGTCCATTTGTCGGTCCGTCCGTCCATTTGTCGGTCCGTCCGTCTGTCGATCGGTCGGTTGGTTGGTCAGTCTGTCCGCAGTTAAGCTAAGCGCATGTGAGCAGATCTTCCGCCTCGTGCACCCCCACCACCACTCCCACCAGTTCACTCTCTCGCAGCCACACTCTCGACATGCAAACGAACAATTTATTGACTACTGAACGCTCAACGGACCGATCGTTTGATCGATCGATCGATCGATCGACCGAACGTCCCCACGACCGACTTCCAGCAGAGAATCCCTTACAACAATCGCTCACTCTTGACCGCAGTGCCACTCGTTGGCGACTGCTGCTGGTGCTGTTGCTGGAGCTTCATCATCTGCTTCTTCTGGCGCAGCTTCTGCGGTCGCTTGTCGCCAAAGAGCGAACGAAAGCGGGACCGCAGCTGTGATGCCGTGAACTTGGCGAGCGGCGCGTACTCGTCGACGCCCGTGCGGCCCGTGGCGAGCATCTCCCAGCACACCTTCGACAGGTGCCGACAGCGCGGGTCTTTCACGGCGTACTCGAGCTGGCGGATGTTGTCTTCGCTCCACGCGTCCATCTTCACGGGGCTGTTGGCCGGGAGCTCAAACTGCCGGAGGTAGGCGTGCTGCAGCTCCGTGCCCGTGAACTGCGTCAGCGGCGCGAATCGGTCGTCTTTCATCCCGCCGGACGCGAGCACCGACCAGTAGATCTTCTTGCCCCGACGGCACGGGTTCGGCCGGGCCATGTTCACGGCTTCGTACAGCAGCTGCAGGTGCTCTTGCGGCAGCAGCCGGAGCGGCGCGTTCGATCCGGCAGCAGGCGACACTCTATCCCCAAACGTCACGCCCGCACCCGTTCCAAAGAGGGCGTCGGACGGCGAGCTGAGGAGGTGGTTGCCACTGCCGTCCGCCTCGCGGCTGAGACCCGATACAGCGTAGCGCTGTTGCTGCTGCTGCTGCTGTTGTTGTTGCAGCTGTAGCCTCTCGGCGTCCGTGGGCTCAATGAGCGCGTCGAGGAAACTGTCGTACGCCTGCACGTCAAACTCGTTGTCGCGCTGGATGTCCAGCGGCTGGAGGAAGGCACTGGACGAGCCGGCCGTGTAGACGTTGGGGCCATGACCGCCGTAGCTCTCGAGCTGCAGCTGTTGCTGCTGCTGGTGTTGTTCGTGATGGTGTAACTGCTGCTGCTGCTGCTGTTGTTGCTGGAGGGCGACGGCGGCGGCGATGCAGTGGGTCAGGAGGCGGCTGTGGCCGGTCTTGAACCCCGCGAGCGCCTGGTGGTCGTGCCCGATGAACTCGAGGTCCCGCACGCTCGCGTAGCCGAGTCGGCAGAGGTACTCGGCGTACTTGAAGCTCGGCGCTCGCGGGATGCCGCAGAGCTCGAGCCACTTGGACACGGTCGAAGACGAAGCCGACGAGAGGTCCATTGGGCCCTGGAACTGCCGCGCGTAGAAGCTGCGACGCGCTTGTCGCCACACGACAGGAGCGTCCGTCAGCCCCGCGCGCTGGAGCTCTGGCACAGTGGCAAACGCCAGCGCCAGGACCGAGTCGAAGCCGTCCTGTGCCAGACGCCGCGCGGCTGCGGCCGAGTCCTGGGGGAGCTGCAGGTTCTGGAGGAAGAGCAGCACGTCGGTGTCGTGGGCGGTCGCGACGTCGTAGGCGTCGGCGATGTTGTAGCCATTGGCTGCGCCCGAGTCGGGCAGTGCCGCCGTGGGACGTGCTGCTGATCCTATTGCAGTGGAGGAAGTGGTACTGCAGCTGCTGCTGCGGGTGGTGGGCGTCGAGGCAAAGAGCGACGAGAGCGGACCGGAGGAGGAGGTCAGGTTGGTGGGCGTCGGCACGCTGCTGCCGAGTTCAAAGCCGGCAAAGTCGAGTTTCAAGTCGGGGAACGCCGACGAGGGCGACGGCGGCGCGGACGGCCGTTGCCGTTTGCGGTGGCGCTGCAGCTGCTGCTGCTGCTGCTGGGCGTCGCTTTCGAAGGGCGTGACGGTCACGGCCGTCGTGAGTTGCTTGAGCTCCGGCCACGACGAGAGCGCTGTGCCAGCCGCTGACGAGACAAAGACGTCGTCGTGGAGGGCCGTGCTATAGCTGCTACTGGTCGTCGTGCCCCGGCGGCTACAGCTCCGGTCGTCACAAGTGGTGCGAGGGCTGTTGGTGGGCTGCATGAGCGAAGAGGGAGGGGACACTGGGCGACGGGCAGAGGGCACCTCGACTCGTTTGCCGTCCTCTGGTGTGCCAGGGGTCAGTGTGGGTGAGGCCCCGAAGGCGAAATCGATTGTGGTTGTCGTCGCTGCTACTGCTACTGATGCGATCGTCGGCGTCGTCCTGGTGAAAACCCAACGCCGACGCGGCCGATCCCGTGTCCCTTGTCCAAAAAACTGCATCTTTCGCGGCGACGCCCAGAAACGGGACTGCGCGCAACATCCTTCGTCGACAAAGAGCGGTCAGGCCGAGTCAGCGCCGCGCAGGTGTATCCGTGCGCCTATGTATACATACACTTGCATGCAGATCCATCGCGCGATCGACACTGGGCGAGCACTTGCTGTATCTTCTGGCGCAAATGAGACTTGGACGCGTCGCTTTTCTCCCCCCCGTACGTGCTGCACGGCGCACTGCTTTGACAGCGATTCCCTTTGCGCGGAGTGGCGCATCTACCCCAAAGCTGGTAACAAGTTGCGATTCCTGAGGTAGCCGGTGCCAGCATCGTGTTGATTTCATAGATAATAAATAAGCGGCGCATGGGGTGATGCATTGGACCAAAAGTCCCCAAAAGTCGACTATAATGTTGGGATGACGAGCTCCTAACAGATGCACGAAATCGATTGTACCGGATGTCGTTGCTCGACCGAGCAGCTATCGATCGCACTTGACGGCACTTGGCGTCTGTCAAGCATGGAGCAATGCATGCAAAGCCGACGTGTCACGGTTGTTACGCTGTAGGTCGGGTAGAGACAGTCGTTCGCGCGCGTGTCGCCTCTTGTTCGCAGATACTTGAGAAACGCCGCAGATCGAGCACGTGAGCCCAGCGATCGTCCAGTGCAATAGCGCTCCTGCGACCGCTATCTCGGACGTGACACAACCATCAGCAGTCACCGACAGACAGTCGAGCGGGGAATTTCGTTGCGTGTCCTGAGCGTCGGCAGCGACGACCGTGCCGTGTGACCAGGCAGTACCGCTCGATCTCAAGTAAGCGCATGTCGGCTCGGCTCTATTCTACTCGGCGCTATTGAAGGTATATTACAGCCCTCCTGGCTCTACGCCGCACGTATCATGCGACCCGTCTCCACACGGCTGGTGCAGCACAGCCAGATCGCCAGATCGTGGCCGCGACTGGCAAGTGCGCTGATGGCTGGCGCCGGCAACCATGCATGCGATATCGCGCTGCCAGCAGGTATCGTGTCTCCCCGCTTCGGACAGCAGCAGCAGCACGTGGTCGATGCAGTTGGTTTGCCTCAGCTCGAGCTCGTCGCAGCAGTACGTTCGAGAGCGGCTGCAAAATTTCGCGTCACACGCAATGTGAAACGTGACTCACTTCGCTGCCCGTCTGCTTGTAAAGCTCTTGCGGGAAGCAGCCGCAAGGGTACCTTTGGGACATGGGACGTGTCGCGAGCCCTGCTCTTTCGCACGCGTACGACGCGTAGGCACATTGCCACCAGCACTTTGGACTCGGCACAGGAACGCTGGCTGAAAAACGGCCACATGCACCCACGGCCGAACGCTCGAGGGAGGATTTTTCGCTCGCTTGCTTGTAGCTTGTCGCGTGCTGCGACGCGAGCGAGGCAGATACCGCAGCGATAGCCGGGTAACGACGTCGAAGCTGTAGAGTAGCAGCAGGTCCTGTCTGTAGCTTCTTCGTGGGATCCCTGTGGTCGACACGACGTCAGGCCGTGGGACCAGCCTGCTGCCACGCCGCACTTCTGCCGCAGCAGACGTTGCACTATCCGAATATCACCGATTTCGAACAAGTCGGTGACTCGGGGCGATGGACAGGTGCTATCGCCACGGGCGTCGCACTCATCCTCGGATCGCGCGAGCAGCCACCGTTGCAGGATATGTGGCTCGAACGCGATTCCGACACGGACAGAAGGAGAAGGAGAAGGAAAAGGAGAGGAAGAAGACGAAATAATCTCGTATAATCGACTGTCTGATCCTCTCTCTCTAGAAGAAGAAGAAGAAGAAGAAGGAGAAGAGGCACTGTTTCGAGATGCGACAGGCTTCAAATCGAATCCAGCCCACAACAGCGGCGCGTGTGCCTTCGTAGAGGTAATTAATCCATTGGGTCAGCGCGAGCGGGAGACATCCTTGAAGAAAAAGGATGGAAGACGCGAGGGCCGCGCGGTTAGCATAGCAAGGACTCCTGTCCTTTCAGCGAGCATCGACGTCGTCGTTCATTACGCCACCAGAAAAACGCATCCTCACAATCTGTGCCGAGCCATCAAGCAAGAGAAGAGGACTGGGCCAGTGGCACTCCAACGATAAGTCCGTCCCTTTCTTGACGCTGCGTCGAATCTCCCGTAAAAGCTAGCCGCGCCTTGTCTCCTCACAAAGCAATGGAGGATAGTACACTCGGTCTCAGCATCTCCCCCTCCACGCTGTGGTGCTGCTAGGACGGGGGTGCTGAACGCGATGATGCAAAGACACGCGGCCGTCACCTGTGCAAGTCTCTCTGAAGCAGCAATTACAGCTACAGGCACTCGATCAGGCGCGATGAACAGCTGTGGCGATCTCTATTCCGAATAAGCGACCAGAATACTTCAAGAAAGCTGCATGTGCGCACCATCCCGACGTAGCCGCCACACGACAGCTTCTAGCAAACGGAAGGCGTACTGCATCAACGCGAGGCAACATGTCCAAGTGCGTTTGTAGCGAATCGACGATCGAATGATGACACTCGTCATGCTGTCGACCCCAGCTGAGAGCATGTCGGCTAGACGACGCCAAAATCTACGGCACAGCAACGTGTATCCAACTATGCGAGCAGAGGACCCACCACGGACGCAGTAGTCACGGCCAGTCCGCAACGTCCCGCCGCGTATGGTGTGTCAAACATTGAAAGAAAGCTTGACCGATCGCTGACTCAAGGAATACTGTACCAACGCGGGATGGCCGTGCAGGCAAAGAGGCGTCGCCGGTAACGTCGTTACAATCCCCATCCGAAGCTCCGACAGTGGGGCTGGCATCACGGCCGATATGGCAATGACAACCGTGGCCCCGGTGTGTTCAAGCTTCGTTGTCCGTCGTAAGCCAACGTGTGGAAGGCTGCGTCCGTGCGTAAGACACTGTCGATCCTACCGTAGTGGAGGGTTCTTGCTGCTAAGCGCCGCGCACGTGCCTCCCGCGGGATACTGAGTCGACCGATTGTAGAAAGAAACTCAGTGTGAAGCTACAATGGAGTAGGAGTAGTCCTCCTCCTCCACCCCAGTTACTTGAGCCGACCGCGTCGTACTTCAAACAAGCATCGTCTATCATGCGAAACATGTGCTTCAATATGCAAAAGCACGTGCATCGAAACGCACGATTTGCATCGGGCCTGTTCTTGCGTCATGTGGATATTCATTTGCCGTGGTCGCTGGCTTCCACCAGCAGCCGCCACGCTGTCGGCTCAAGGTACACCCAGGACAGATGTGTCCTGGTATCGACGCCGGTTGGATACCCTTGTGCTCAATAAACCGTTGCTGTCCCCCGCAAAAAGGCGCAGCCATCATGCCTTGCAGAACCAGTCGTTGGGGTAGAGTCGAGGACGAGCGATGACCGATACGGTGCCACCACTAGACCTTGACGCTTTCGGCGTGACGCATTGCTGCCTCTTCTAGCCGCAAGTCCGTGTGTGCAGGCCATCGCTTCCATGGGGTGTGAGACGAGTGCTCATCACTGTGGACGGTCGACATTCATCGTCTGGGAGCTTCAAGTTGAAGCTGGCAGGAGAACCAAGGTCCCTCTCCGCTCCAGCACGTCGCTTCTTCATCCTGTATCGCGTCAGTGGACAATGGAAATGTTTAAGTCCATACTGTGCGTCAACAGCAGCCCTGCTGCATTGACCTGCAGTAGGGTACATCTGCTTTCGTTGTGTGTGTCGCAGCTGCTGTGGCAATGGGCTTGTGAATGGCAAATGGCCATGTAGACGAAGCAAACTGCCCATTTCGTAGTCTGCCCATCATGTCGCCAAGGGCATCACTCGACCCCATGTCTGGAGTGAGTGTATGTAGCTTTCCACCTCCAGACAGTGCCTTCTACTCATCTTTGCTGCGGTAGTGCCGAAGATGGCGTGCTTAACGACTAACTACTCAGTCTTGTTGTTGTCGTTGTTGTTGTTGAAATTGAGGCATATTGAGGAACGATTGGCGACCAGCAATACCCTGTCCAGATAAATGTAGTTATGTGGTGTCACGGCCTTCAGCATCCGACAATGCGACCGCACGAACGACATGCCGTCAGGCTATGATCGGGTGATCCGCCGAGGCCCTTCCGCGGGCGGCAGGAGTTCTGTCTGGCTTCGACAGAGAGTGGTGTCTCGAGCCAATAGTTGCCTTCCGGTAAAGTGCGGCGAAGTGTGGCTGGCGCGGCGAGCGGGACAGTCGAAGTTGAGTGATGACCGTGGCACTATCCCCAACAGCATGCACAAGAGTAAAGCTGCTGTCTTTCGTTCGCTGCAAACCGTGGACGAGGCCGTAGTATGCAGTCATGTTATCCGTCGCATGAGATGGTCGGGTGGAAAGTGCCGCAAGGTCAGGAAGTGGGGTGGAGGCGACGCGAAGTGGTACAAAATCGCATTAGCCAGCGCTGAGCGGACTCGAGCTAGAACGAAATATCGGGTATCGCCACCGAATTGGTACGTCGAGCCTCGACGAAAGGGGATTGCTCTTTGCAAACCGGATGAGCAATTGCGTTGTGGCTCTCATCGGATATCGTCGTTGCGTTGCCTATCCGTCGTAGCCGCTCTAGCCAAATGGCGTGGGTTGTCATCGACACAATAACTACTCGGTGTTTGTGTGCGTATATCGTCGCGTCGAAGCGCCACTCAAGCATACGCTTCTGGTATCGTTACACCTTCAAACGTGCGATCGCTCAGCAAGCAAAGGCTACCAACACAGATGTTCCAGGCGGTAGTGTCGAGCGAATACAAGAGCCCAAAGTGTTCTCTTCCATCTTCGTCGCGACCATGCGA